AGGGTCTCCATGGAAGCTCCCGCCCTCCTTCTTAGCCACTTACATGTAGGTAGTCCCGAATTGTACTCTGGCCCCAAGACCATAATCTGAGAACAGACTTAAGTCAAAATTTCAAATCCAAATAACTTTGGAAATAATTTTGATAACAGAACAAAATTTTTATCATATGTTTATACTGGAATATTATACTAACCTGCAAAATTTTAAGTATGTATGTTAAATAAAACTCAAAATATTCAAAATCAAAATTTTGACTTAAGTCTGTTCTCAGTTTATGGTCTCAAGGCCTGGACGTACACTCAGCACTCAGCTCTTTTTATTAAGTCTTTCCCTTAAGGTTCACTGACCCTCTGATAAGAGAGATAACTCCTCCCACTGGTATAAATGACTTTTATTTCTTTATGAAATCGTCAAGATTAAATCAGATTTCTGTCACATTTTGCTCCGCATGGTACGCTGTACTTCTTTTTGCGTTTCACTTATATAAATAAGTATAAATAAATAAGAGTTCTTTGGTAAAATAGTTATTGTTCAGCAAAGTTTTTATATAAGTGAACGGGGGAATGTTGAACTTCAAAATTCTTTTTTAATTGTATGAAAGAAAAACACATGATTAAAATAGGATTATCCCGAGGTATTTATTTTCTATTTATCGTATATGGTAACACTGTAGAGGGAATCTCCTATTCATTATAATAGATTAAGAGGGCTGGGTGGTTGTGGCCATTTTCAGACTTTATTGATCTCCTTTAGAAGAAGAGCTCCATATAAAGATATACAAAAATGAGCAAATTTTAAAACTAAAATGTATGAAAATTTTGTTTGCCAAATGATAGTTAACAGCTTAAGATATCATATCTAAAATATTACGTTATATCTGATGGTTAATTTGTTGACCCCAGCCTCCTTAACGAATCCTCAACAAAATGCTGCTACATCATCACTGAACAAACACGGCGGTGTTTTACAAATATCTTCATTATTTGTAAATTTTGAACTACGTATTATCTTCTGATGTAAAAAAAAAAATCATTATTAATATTACAGACTACTCTTTTCATAACATGCTTTGTTAATATGACAACCATCCTTATTCTTTTTTGTGTAAGAAAAAACACATCACGAAAATTTACAGGGCCGTCATAATGCTGGTGTCATGCCGTGAAGACATACCTTATATACTCGCCTATAAGTCGATTTTTTGGGAGATAAATTTTGGTCCAAAACTTTATGTCCGACTTATAGGGGAGTCATAAGAAGATTAGTATTTTTTTTGGACAGCGAAATATAGCATTCTATGAACATTTCCAAGGATTTTCGTTGAACAAAGTCTGGATATATTATATCATTTATGTATTCTAAGATTATACATAAAGTACAAGTATTTACATATTTTGATAACTTTTTTATCTTAAGTGTGCATTTAGTATTTTTCCTAATAGTTTAAAATTAAATATCGGCGTCATTTCTAAAAATATTAATCGAAACCATTAAAACATTAGAGCATTCATTCGAAATTGTCAACTGATTCTGGCAAATAGAAATTTTTTTCCAAAATAACCTCAAAAAATACAACCGACTTATAGGCGAGTTATACAATGGTTCATGCTTTACTTGGCTACAGAGTATTTCAGAGACTTTAATTAGAGGAAATATTGTTAAAGGAAATTAGAGGAAAACTTGCCGCTGTAATATTGAAGTTATTTAAGAAAATGTTTGTTATGTAAAATTCTATAGCTTAACGATTATACAGTATATAAAATACATTTATAAAACTGTCAATTTATTTTATTCATCGATTTACAATATTCACTGACAAAGACACAATTTTTTAATAACCCTCTTATATTAACAATTTAGAAGCAAAGAATATATTTTTGTTATCTATGTCTATCAGATGTGACAAAGTATTAATGGTATGAGAGAGAACTCTGAATAATTACTTATGCACAAATATCTACACATTTAAGCTTTTAAAATAATCTTTCGTCCTTAGGAACAAACTTAAATTGCAGTTAAATAACGGTAGGTAAATTATCTATGCTTGAAGTATTTCTATTTTTTTTTTTCAATGGAACCAATTATTTTAACATTTAAAAATGGTCAATCCCACGATTAAGTTTAAGCAGTATCTTGAAACATTTTCAGTCTCTTACCGGTGAAACCGGAGGGGACTTTAAGTTTCCTCCCTGTCTGTCCTTTTAGCTGTCCCTTTGTCTGTCTGCCTGTCCGTCTGTCTGTCCCTCTGTCTGTCTGTCAGTCTGTCCCACTTGCTTTCCGCTCCTTTTTTTTCTAAACGCCTGCAGTTATTGAGCCGATCTTTGGTATGTGAGTTTACTTTGATGAGTTAAAGATCATGTTTTTTTTGCATTTTGTTCCGCTTCAATGAATTTTTGACAAAGTTATGGTATTTTCAATTTTTAATGGGAACCAGATTACACTTGCCGGTAAGGAACTAGTATTGCTAATACAACACTCTCAGAATGTTTGTTTTATTAAATTAGTATCAAGTATATTAAGAAATCTTTTTTCTTTTTTTTGGAAGGTTGTTGTCTTATAATAAACATTTCTAATAAATTAAGTTATTGAAATCTGTTTTTTAAATAACAAAACGAGACAATGTCATTCTAAAATATATATAAATATTGTCAAAATATTATCAAAGATGTTTGTAATTCTGTAACATGCCTAAAATTGAATTACAATTGCATTTATGCTGATTACAGCTTTGCATGTAAACTGATTACTACTTGTATGTAAGTTAAAAATGGAAAATTCAATTTGGTAGAGAGACTATATTGTTTTATGTAATTTAGCTCTGAACATGTATTTCTGCAATAGCTATTATCAGAAATTAGCCTTACCATTCGAAAGATAAAGCAAAAAAGAAACCCAACAAAGTAGTCATAAAAAAGCAGCTAAATAGAAATATAGCAGCACTCTTTCTTAATTGCCATTATAATCTGAGGGATCCAAATCATAAAATGTATTTTTGGTTCTCTCTTTCATGATTGAAAATTTTGGGAAAAAAAAAACTGCTAATTCTTACGAGAATTAGATCAATTGCAAATTTTCCCAAGTGTGTTTAGCAGCATTTCAATCAATTGAAAGTATCTTTTTTCTTGAAAAATCTGCACAATCTTTCCATCTGTAACAAAAGAAAAGGAATGCATAGTCTGAAGGTTTTAAGACACTTCGTAAACAATCCTCAAAGAAAGACGGTAAAAATTTATAAATTTAAAGAATGCCGAACCCGATGTCTATTGAATATCCAATCGATGTGGAGACAGATAAAATTTTATTGTTAATTGATTTGATAAATCAGATACGTAACACAGGTAGGATATTCTACGTTCTTAAAATCAAGTATTCCATCCGTTAATTATAAAGAATTATAAATCTAACGACGACGAAAATGTATTTCACATATAATTAATTAATTATACTCAGTTGGTAATTAACTGTCTGGGTTAGGATATAGATCAATTACATGACAAAATTATCAATTACCTTTAATACAGAAACATCGGTCGATGTGGTATACTCTTGGAATGATAGATTACTTATCATAATCACTACTCCGCTGAAGATTAAAAGAATGCCAAACCCGATGTAAATTAGTAAGATAAGTTAGACACGCAAAAATTTGAACTACGCATTATAAAACGTAGAACATCTTTTTTTTATAGTTAAAATGTTTCAAGACGGAAGCATATAGGCGTATTAACTTAAAGTTAAGATCTTTGTATTTTTTCCATTTAATGACTGTTAAATTAAGAGATTCCTGAAAAAGGCGGCATTATTTTTAGGATATTGACTTTCAAAAATGACTTGAATGGGTTTAGTAGATTTACAAAGGAAAATTCACTGCAGTTTGATATTATATTATTTGTATGATTATTGGACTTATATAGATAAAGTTTTGGACTGTAAAAAATGACGTGACAGGTATGTTTTAATGTACGATTTCTTGATCATGTAGAAAGTATGAATTTACTAAACAAATTATTTTCTCTGCGTACTTTGACAATACATGTATTTCAAATAAAAATTACATAAATTTCCTAAATATGCAAAATAGCGAAGACTCAATTAATTAAATTATTCATAACTTGTTTGAAAGGTTGACGTCATAGTTGCTTGTGTTTAATTGTGACGTAATTGCAGAATAATAGGTACAATCAGGAATCTAAAGTAATCTTTAAGTACGCTGTCTAAAATTAAATTTTGGGGGATTTTAATTTTTTATCACTGTTTGAGTAATAGTTACCAAAGTCTGATAAATTTTACTGATTCGTAATTTGAAGGCGACTATCTAGAGTAACTTTGCTTGAGTGCACTCTTTTTCATGGGAGTTAGATATAATCTGCATCTCCTAAGAACTATCTGCGTTATAATCGAACGAGTCTCTCGATAATACAGAGTATTTACAATCCTGATAGCCGTCTACCTTCGCTTAACTGATTTATTATCTGATATAAAACATTATTAGATTCATCCCTTAATTGAATAACATAAATGTACTATTTTTCCATAAAAATTATCAAGTTGTACCATTAATTAATAAAAACAACCTATACCTCATGCGGCTCGTAGTTTGAGGACGATACTGTCGTAATTTATACACGGTAGTAACTTGCTGATGTTAACGTAGAGTCGAGATACAGTTTACTGTTTTATTTTAAGATTTAATCGTCTATACACGCACTTATTTCATTTTTAGCAAATTCTCTCACAGATAACCCATAACGTAAAGAAACGGTAGGAAAGTTGACGAGATTACGTAGAAAAGGTGTGGATGTATTACTACGCCGCCAGTAACTAATCGTTCACACCTACCGCCATCGATAAATAGTTCCCACCTTTTTCATATGGATAAATAAGTGCATACTCATCGAGCTGTTTAATAAGGCATCAGATTTCTGAGACTTTGTCATTGGTTATAAATCTCAGATCAGGCGCGGTAGGCTTATTTCGGAACTTAAACAAGGAACCAGTGAAGATTTACAATTTTCCGGATCAAAGTTGCTTTATCGAAAAGGGTAGAGACTGCTATAAATTCTTCAACAATTTAATCAGTTTAAATTCTCAAGATCTCTTGAAGGGATTGCTCGGTAAACATTGTCTTAGCTCGTTTGTTAGAATACTGAAATAGATGTCACTCAATGTAAGACTGGACCAATCGCGTACGGTAGTGTAAGAGACAGGAAGTTACTCTTCTTTTGGTGGAGGTAAAAAGGTGAACATTTAACGTTACATAGACATAGACCAATATGTACCCTGTTTCTTTACGTACAACAGCTCAACTAGTTTTACTTGTTTATGGTACGATACAGTTTGCAGAATCATCAGGATTAAATAATGATTATGGAGGTAAGGTTTTCATGTTTTGGGAAATATATTATATATTTTAAAAGGTAAATTTTTTATTCTTTTTATTTAAAGTTTATTTAAGTTCTTAAACTTAATTAAACAACAGATTATCTGTCTCCAGGATTGAAAGATTCAAATCTCCATAATCTCTCTCTCTCTCTCTCTCTCTCTCTCTCTCTCTCTCTCTCTCTCTCTCTCTCTGCGTGTGTGTCTCTCCCAGGCGTCTAAAAATTGATAGCAAGCACTGAATAATTTTTTGTGTATTTACTTATTTTAGAGGGATTTTGACAAAAGATCAGTATTATGTTTTACGAGCATCGCGAAAGCGCAATAGTATATATATATAATACTTTGATATACTTTATATACGCTTATTCAACATATGGCATATGTGTGCACTACTTTAAAAACCCTAAATTAAATAAAAATGCAGGTTTCATAATATTTCATGAAGAGATTGGATTGGAGACTAGAATTTCGGCGGACATTTACATGTCTTTTATCACTTTCTGTAAACCGCTCTACAGGTGAAGAAACAATCGCTCACCACCGGAATTTGGAAAATGTATTATAGGTGTCGTAAAGTTTTATGGGTTTATTGAAAACTTAAATAAACTGTTAGTTAACAGGTAGTAAAAGTCAGAACATTTAAAATGTCTTTCTGGATGATCACTGTAAAACACTCAACACCGGTCTTACTTCTTCTATGGTGCAAGGACCCGATCCAAAGGCAAATGTGCCATCGTGCTTATAGATCAAAATAACGCAAACTAAAATCTAAATCGCCAACAGGAGAACAATTGGTGTGGATAAAATCTTAATTTACGGTAATAATTTACAGACCTTCATCGATTCTGAGAAGCTGGAGTAGGCCTATATTGTATAGGCGTAAGAGACAATTTAAACAACAGTTGTTGATTTCAAAGCTGCTTGACCCTTAACCTTAATCTCGAGAATTTCTATGCGTTTTATATTTTTATGTTAGGACTTAACTGAGCGTTTTTTCTTTGAAAATTTCGCTTGCATTTTATCACATGTGGACATTCTGCAACACGCCGGGACAAAAACTAAATATAGAACTTTTTTTCTCAATCATTGTGTGAAAGGGGATTTAATATCAAAACAGTAAAAAAAATTTCTCTGATAGACCCTTAAACATCAATATTTTCTTATATTTTGAACATACATGATTTTAAAATCTTATCAACCTTGTGTCAAAACAACAAAGAAAATGAATCACACGTACTCCGAAGTTGATAAGTAAAAAATGATTGAGTTTCTGATTGACTATATGTAGTTTTTGGAGGTCGAATCTTCGAACAATCTGTCAGAATTTCCATGGGAACCAATCGCGCCCCTTTATTATCAGACCTTTATTTGTACATGTATTTATATGAAGCAGAATTTATTCAAAAACTTCTACATGAAAACAAGAAGTATGTGTGTGGCCATGAATTCAAAATTTAAATATATCGAGGTTGATTCGATATATATCCCTCTGAACTCGAAATAAAAGAAACCAAAGAGTCTGATACATCTGTTTAAAATTTAGAAATTTTCCAAGAAAAAGGCTTGAATGATAACTTTACAACAACACATTATGTTTAACGTGATGACTTCTGCTTTTCTATCGTCTATTTCCCTTATTTCTGTACCAATATACAACTGTATCCTTATGACCTGCATATGGCGTTTATTTCTCCCAGTTGATTAGCTACATAAGAGCATACTCTACGTAAGACCCATTTCTAAACGAGGCAAGCTTTTGACAAACAGGTTAATGGAACAAGGATATCAAACGTCTCGTATAAAGTCAACAAATTCGATACAATGACCTAGTCAGCAAATACAATCTATTATTAAGTCAAATGCTGACTGACGTTTTTCATACAATTTGTTAGGCCATTATTTACACACTGAATTGTCTACTGATTCTCTCGTTTGCCCGATCATGACAATGAGCACACGGCGCGCGGGAATGTTTACTCCTTCATTACACCTGATCCCACCTCTGATGTTTATATAGAAGCCCTGTTTGCTCTGCTCCCGATTTGTATTATTTCAATGAACTTTAGAGCTTGAATACTGTTAGTTATCTCCATATTTCATCGTAAAATTATTCCAAAGATACAAAATTCAACATAGCTTACTCACAAAATATTTCATTTAAAACTTCAGACAGAATTGGAATTAAATGTGTTCATCAGTTTTAAAGATATTCAAAGTTCAAGTTTCATTAAGACAGCCTGACATCTGATTAACTTTTGTAAAGGCCATTCTGATCTTCTGGAATGGATTTGAATGAAATTATAATTTGTCTCTTTGCCCTTTATAGCATAAACTTTAGATTTGAATCACATAGAAAAGGCATCAGTGCATTGAACTACCCCCCCCCCTCCCAAAAAAAAGAAGAAATGAAGAAAGCGTGTGAACAGCCTACAAGGGGATGTTTTTTTATCTAAAAAAATAATGACTTTTTCATTTTGTAAGTTTTTCAATCAATTTTCATTTTTTTGAAAACGTCCCATGTATTCAAACTACTAAATAAAGTGTTTAACATTAATGAGATGAATGGAACAAAATCTTCGCAATGTCATTCATATTTGAGCTTATTTTAGCTAAAAATTTTCCGTTCGTGGCATATGTATATAATGTACCTAATTATATTAATTTAATAGCATTGAGTTTATTCCTTTTTTGTTATTTCTTTAAGTTTTGAACGGGCTTGATTTACTATAGTAGTTTATTTATCATTGTATATGGTCCTACAAATCATGACATTAGGAAAGCCATGTTTCTACAATTTCCATCTTATTAATATCCAACAATAACGTATGTTAGGAAACAGTTCTTTAACAATGAATTGATACACGTAGATGCCTTTAAAGAATTCAAATTTGTATTTTCAATATTTTTTTTTTTTTTTTTTTTTTTTTTTTTTTTGCAGGCAGATTAATTAAATAATTGATTGAGAAAGAACCGCACAGAGCTATTAATTACTTTCTTAGCCTAATTAATTAATTATTGATCGTTCATCAAAAGGAGGTAGGTCTTTTTAAAGCACAAAGCCTTTGGAGATCTTTTTAATGAGTGTTAAGCCTGCATATTTTGATTTTATTATGGATTGTTTCGTCACTCAGATTAAATTGTATTTATAAGATGTTACCAAATTAGAAAACCTGACAAAATCACAGCATGACAAATACAATAACAAGACGTAAGAGAACTACGTGAATAATAACAAAAGACATGAAAGGGTTAAAATAAATCGTTAATAAAGCGTAAAATAGAGTTTTGTTTTTGCTATGTAGATATTCTTTGGAGCATTTGTTTAAAGTGAGTAAAACATTTAATTAATAAAGTTGAAAAATTAAAACAAACAATAAAATAGTCAAACTTCTATTATTTCTATGTAAGAAAAGATGCTGGAAAATTAAATTGTTTAAAAAAGTGCCTTGAAAGTATTTTCTTTTATTAACATTTTACATAAATAGTTCAAAAAAAAAAAAACGGCACTTGGAGAGAGAATCGAACCATAAAACGTGCGCCCTACCACGAGGCTAACACAAGCGGTAATAAAGAAATTAATTAATTAATTAATTAATTAATTAATAATAGTAAATAAAAATGAAAAAATAAATAATTTAATTAATAATAAATAGATAAATAAATAACGCCTTGCATAAGCATTTGATGACTCATTACCTTCATGTACCTGTATAAAAATCAATTTAAGAAAGATTTACTTTTCCATAAGTACATGTATATCAACGGTTTTCATTACAATGTAATACGAGTCTCCAAGCGTGAGAATGTCTTCCACAAACGTGACAATTTCTTCCACACGTTGTATATATAACCTCTTATCCCGTGATGGATTCTGCTACACCTAAGTACTCATAGAAATGATAATTTAGTTCTTTCTTGTTGACACCCAGTTATAAATTAACTTAATCTATCAGTTCTTTCATTATCTTATTTTCCTTAAGTACTAGCAGACCTTAAGAACTATACGACTACATTTATTGGGGATAATAAATAGTTTCGTTGACCTTGTAATTTCTCCTACGAAGTATCAAGTTTCTTTCTCTTTATTTAATGTGCGGCTTGCTTCGTTCAAGGTTGATCTATTTTTGCTTCGGGTTTCTTCTGCAGGATTTTCTACCAAATACGATCACAGGGTCAGTTTCTTTAATTGTCCTACGTACGATCTCTAACTGCGCCTTATTATTATGTCAATAGTTCTGTACTCCCCCGTGCGATTGTGACGGGGTTTGATTTTCAGAGAAATCTGACGTCACGATAGGAAAATGTGACCGATTTTTATTATGTAAAGTCAGTTTACATAATTGGACTGGACATCAGGCATAGCCTATATAAGTCCTCTCCAAGAAGGTCAAGGTTACAAATGTTAAGAATTGACAATGATTTACAATCATGATGAAATAATTCATAATAAGTTACATTAAATTCTTTTGTTAACTAGAAATGGGAAAAAAAGGAGAGATAGATTAATAGACCGATGCATACGCAGCAAATTCCTAAAGTGCATTGAAATATGACCGAGAATTATCAAGATATCTTTAAAATGTTTCGAAGAATATTTAAATTTTATATAAGAAAGTAATGGAAAAGCTAAAAGTTCTGATGAGGTTTCAGATTGTTGACTTAAAGAGTTACCAATCGTTTGATAAGACATTTTGAATTTTTCACTTAGAATTTTTCATCTTTCAGGGGAAAAAATTCAATAGACTTTTAAAATAATATAAAAAAAAACAATATTTGCAAAGTTAAAATAAGATTAATAAAAACTAAGAGAAAAATTCTCCTGATAGAGCTCTGTAGTGGATGTAGTCTATTGTGCGGGCCCCGGCTGCGACAAACCTAAGTTGTAAAATAAGTACTGTAGCAACTATTATATCGTCACAACTGATTTAGAAGTTGCGGGTCTTTGGGATGAACTTTCAAAATAACCCAAGGCACCTTATCACGACAGGTGTTACCATGCTAAAATTTCTCACTGTTAAACGGCTCTGAGTGTCCAGTAAAGGCTCTGTGGGTCGAGTAAATGCTCTGAGTGTCGGGTAAATGCTCTGAGTAATGAGTAAAGTTCTAGATCTGAAGCCTTTCATAAACACTTGTATTAAGTGACGGGTCACATGAGTGAAAAAAAATGTTGCAAGTGAAGTAAAGCTACAACAATCAGCCAATCAATGAAAATGAATACAGGAATTGTTGGTTTTTCTAAGAAAAATTCTCATAAAATGGAACATTTGTTTGTTGGAATTTGTGATTTTAAAAAGTGTCAATTACATTACAGGCCCTAAAGAACTCATGGGGAGGGGGGGGGGGGGCATTGATAGGTCGCGTTCCCAATATTTTACTATTTTTGTAATAGAAACAGGGCTAGTTTAGGGTTGTGCCTCCACAATAACCTCTGATAAGCACCATCACTAATTTGCTCCATTGTCAAGGAATTTTCGTCCTCATAGAGGTTTGAGTCACCTTTTTAATGACAGGATCAGCAATGAAATGTAGAAGTAACCTTTCAAATTTATAGTTCTCAAAATTAAAAGAAACTGAAAATTGCTACTTTTATTTACACATGTAATGGAGATAGTGATTTAATAACCCACCTAAGTCTGATTTTGTTTAAGTGCTTTCTTTTCTGGGTCTGTACCATAAAATTTTGGTACCAGATGCAAATCGGATGATTTATTATCTTATTTCTGTATTTTGTTTATCCTTGGTAAACAACGAAATCTTAAAAAAAGAAGCCTATTCCTTTCTTCGGTCAATTGGATCTCTATCGAATGATACAATTATTGCAACTTAAAGTAGAAATTTACGGTTTTATGCAAACCGTTCTGTTTGTGTAAACATTTAATATTGAATTTAACGTAGAGGTAACGCTATAAATCACCAAGGGAATTAGGGAAAAATACCAATACAGTTGTGTGCATTTAGTCTTAAGCTTGGTCGTATCATATGAAGAAATAAGTCGGATATTCTAATTATCACCTTTATACCTACACCTAGTCTGTGTTGCCATGGTCAGATTATTCCCTACCCATCGTTACAGAAAATCAAATATGAAAATATTTAATATCGATGCAAAAATCGGCCTTTCATTTCATTCAAAAATTTTAAAGAGTGTTATTTCTTATATTAAAATGGCGACAGAAGATGAAATTCCATGCTTTTTACTTCAAAACTAACTAATTTTCATCGTTGTTAGCCATATTGCCATGGTCAGACCTAAAGTTTCCAGAAACACAGAGAATAAGCAATTACCATAACAAAGTTTACTATGCATATGCCTTTTAACACAGAAAATGAGAACATTCTTAAAATTGCCTGAATGTGACCAAGACTTTGATGCTGGAAGGTCTATAAATGTGTAAAAGGGTTATTTTCCGAAGTGATTTAAGAAAACAGTGATGATGATGTAATAACAAAAGTAATGGGGATCCTAACGGGGTATCTGTTTAAACGTTATCATTATCCAACGTTAAATTAAATGATATGGCGTCCTGTAACTTAGTAGTGTAACGTTATTTACTCCATGAACAATAATGGGAAAAAAAAACAAACAAACAAATCAGACTCATTTCTCCATGTGTAAAAGATATCATGTAATAGAACATATGATAGCATATATATGCTTGTTATAAGAGAAATCCAGGAAAGGTCTTTTACCTTGTTCTTACGCTTTCTTTAACTTGACTTTCTTTTTAACAGTTTTAATACAAAACAAGCATGATGCAATGCCAAGGTCACGAAGGGCTTTCTTAGAGACATTCATTAGAAGTTTACGAAGTGGAGGCTTTGAGCGTGGTGATGACGTCAGGTTTCTAGTACCACGTGACTATAGCATTGGTAAGGAACTACTCTTTGTTGTTGCAACTTTTTGAATGATGTTATGAATTTCTTCTTTTTTGTACATTTTTTTGTGCGTTCCTAATTATGGGTAAGGTTACATAGTGTAACCAAATTAAGAATATTTTTTAAAATTGTTTTTACATTTTACTGATTCAAAAATAAATTGTCCAAAAAAATCATCAATTGGTCATTGTTAATATCTAAATAAGTGATCAATATTTAATTTCAGGCCGGTATGAAGATATTTCCAGTAAAAGGGATTACGGAATAAACCCTCCATTTCACGAGCTATGCCGGATGCTGAACATGGCGTACTGCTCCTATCGAAGTTAACGTCACGAATGACGTCATAAAGGAACTTGGCTCTGTGATAAAAGATAAAAAAAACGAAACTGTGTGTCGCTGAAGTTAGTCAATGAAGTTATGCTTTCTAGAGAACAATGACTGATGATTTTTATTGTCCATTTCATTAACTAATTTTAATTTGAACTATCATAACACTCTATTGTCCATTTCATTAAGTATTTTCAATTACGAACTATCTTCAAACTGGATTCTTCGTTTTGTACATTTCAGTTCGCACTTTTTCTCCTGCCTTACTAGGGCCTATTTTATTTTCATATTGCTGGTGGTTTAGTTTAGCTATATGAAGGTAGTTTTGGAAATATATATATTTTTACATAAAATGTGACTTAAATTGCATTATTTCTTTATTTACAGTTTTATAGCGCAGTTATGGTTATTGCTATTTATCAGTACTTACAGTACTTTGATTATTATCATAAGTGAATCTCACATGTTTTACGTTTTGTTCTTATTTATTTTAATCAAATGAAATAAAACTATTTTTTGTCAAATATATACACTACCTTCTTTAATTTGAGTTATTTTCCTAAACTTTGTCCATAGGTAAAATGTAACAAAAAATGTTACATTCATATACGTGTATAATAAAATTACATTAAAAGCTTACCGAATAAATAGGATTTGAAGGAAAAAAACCAGCTTCGTGGTTTGTTTCAATGGATGAAGAAAAAAACTTTTACTAATATTTGATTCAGCAATTAATTGAGTGATGAACTTTTAATGATTTAAGTGTATTACCCAATGAATAATATTTTATGAAATATGAGTAGGTCTAGAAATTAAAAATTAAAGTGCTCAAATTAAAAGAAAGATGAGGATAATGAACAATGGTCGATCTCAGAATTCTTTAAAACAGTACAAACTAGTGAAAAGGCTATAACACACGGACCCCTGGAAGCTCTAGAGGTTGAATCAGCTGACTTGTAGAAGTAAGCATAATATAAAAAACAAAGAAAATGCCAAGGAACAGATACAAGGAAGCGAAAAAATGGGCTGCTTTACTCTGAAGTTTGAAAGTGTTCTTTTTGTGGCTGAAAATTAAAGGACGGGAACAGAGAGACACTTGGTACATGAAAAATGGGGGGGGGGGGATCAATAATCAGAGAGGGAGAACGGACTAAATAATTAATTATAGTAAAATATTTGTACAGATTTCTTTTTAAAAGACATCGATATCTTTTGAGCACAAAATAAAACTTCTTAATATTTTGCTTACAAACAAATTTCTGGTACAGGAATTCTTTCCTTTGAAGCAGAATTTATTCAAAAACTTCTACATGAGAAAAAAATTCTTGCTGTGGCCTTCAATTCGACATTTAGATATATCGACGACGTTTAATCCAATAATTACTTTCATTCGTATGTCGACATATCCCGATGAAATCGAAATAAAAGACATAATCTGCAACATTTGCTTCACATTTAGATGTTTTACTGATTATAGACGATAATAAGAAACTAATAACTAAACTGTATGACAAACGGGATGACTTTAGTTTTTCCATCTTCAACTTTTCTTAATTACGTTGTAATATTACAACAACCTGCCTATGGTGTTTACGTCTCCCATCTGAGTTTATACGCAAGAGCATTCTTTAAGTCCTGTGAATTCTTAAATCTGGACAGGTTACTGACAAATAAGTTACAGGAATTTCAACAACTTCGTTAAACGTCAGCATTTGGAAAATTCTATGGTCGTTACAATGACTTTCTTTGCAGATACAATCCGCCGTTGGGTAGTATTTTGCCTACATGTTTCATACCGGGTTACTCCGACTACCTGATCAATAGATGTTTCACAGCGGGTGTGACCAGTAGACAGGGCATGCTAACTCTTCCTAGGCACCTGGGGGTCGTAACATAAAGCTTGCTAAGTTTTTGACTTAAGTAGGGTCATAAGTATGTTTTAGGTGCAATCTTAAGACCTGCCTAAGTACTACTTAAGTATGTCTTAAACCGTAACATAAAAAACGGACTTAGCTAGGTCTTAGCTAAGTCAAACTTATGTTCAAAATATTTGTTATGAATCATCCTAGTTTTTCAATTTATTTATATATATATTTGTAAAAATGATTTAGTTACATTTTAATCACATATATACTAAAGCTGACGTCCTTACCTATCGGTTTTAGCTAGGTTAGACTAAATTTCGTATTTAATTAAAGTTAATTCTGTTTAAATTATTCGAAATACAATGTATTTGAAAACAAATATTGCACGGTCACAAAGTGGCACTAGTGGTTCATTGTAAATGCGTGAATATTGTTTATCACTCGAGACTGCAATGTTTTCAGTTTACCGTTTGTTGTTATTCTTTCGTTTGACAAATGTTCACTTGCTTTCAAATAGGCATTCTCGCAGACATAACCGAACGTCTATGTACTTGAAATTGAAACTCTAATAAAAAAAAGTGCAAAACAATAGGGACATTTTGAATTTTTTTCTCCCATATCAGCAAGCAGAGACTGCAGACGTTTTATGATATACTTATTTACAATTTAATGAAGGATGGAAAAGAATTGTTTTCAGAAAATAATTTTTCGTATATCTCCAACTCATCAAAAATATCTATCTCTCTCTCTCTCTCTCTCTCTCTCTCTCTCTCTCTCTCTCTCTCTCTAACATTAGTGAATGGTAGTGAACCCTGTCTGAATCCTCGCTTGTTGCGTTCTACATTCAATATAATTTACAGAAAATCTTTATTTGTTTTCTAGTCATCATCCTTTAATTCACCGATAATTTTTAAAATCATTTCATCTCATTTTTTTTTACGGTGAACAAACAAATCCATGATTACTGTATACAATTTACTTATAATGATAAGTGCTTATAACCTAGGTCCCACTAATATTTCAAACGTATCCCAAAAATAATATTTTGCATTTACATGTATATGTCATTTACAGAGTGATATTAGAATCAGTGATGAATAACACCCCACCCCCACCCCCCGACGAAAAACCAAAATTCTTATACCGGTATATTAAATATAGAAAATTATTTTTTAATGCATAATATAAATAGAGGAATGTTTTAACATAGAAAGTCAACCTTAAATAGTTCTTAATATATGTTTAAGAAAGTTAAGACATACTTAAGTCACCTCTACCGAACGCCTAAGTTTTGCTAAGATTGCCAAATCTTAGCACGTTTCTAGTTACGGTCTTAAGTTTAAGACTGTACTTAAGTCCTACTTAAGCATGGTCTTAGACTTATTAAGTACCCTTTATGTTACGACCCCCTGATCCCACATCTTGTGTTTCCGTGGGTCCACGTTTTATGCCCTGTTGACGATTCTTTATTGGGTATATGAGATTGATCACTATTAGATATCTTCACTTCATCTTTTAGATTCTTACCAATTCTATATATACATTGAATCACAGTGAAAAAGTGATGTGTTTTGTAAATTTACATCATGTTGACTATAGAATTTAAGTTAAAGATATCGTTGAAGAATTTTAAAATGACCGTCCTTTAAAATTCTCTAACTTGTTGGGTCGCATGGATATATCATGAATTGCTCGAGAATATTGGTAAAGAATTATTTCATGACTTTTCATTGATGACCACACCTAGAAGTTATTCTGCGCACATTAGGATTCCTGGGAATAATTGTGTATACAAGTACCTTAATATATTTTTGAAAAATTGTTTTCACCGTAATACACTTGGAAATAATTTTTGTGTAGGAACAATTACGTAAACTTTAATCGGCTTTGGTAACCTAAAAATATTTTGGTACATCTTCATATACATATATGCATTTTGTTATGATAGGCTACTAATACATTTTACCCAGAAACTTACGTGTACATGTTAATACTCTCAGGTAACATATGCAAATAATGGTACATATAGAAATTTAATGTTATAACATAGCAAACCTGGAAACATAATGCTACACCATAATACACCTAGGAATATACTGTATGTGTACTTAAAAAGTGGGCTTCATATTTTAGCAGCTTTGGCGCAGACAACGATGCGCTAATTCATGAATACCGTTAAGAAATCATTTACAAATACAATATACAACAAGGGCATGTATAGCGCTAATTATGATTTCGCCAACAACTCCATACCCAGTGATTGCGATAAATTTTGAATACGCCAACACATACAGTATTGCTTCACTTGTATGTAAAGGTACAGTATTGTTTCATGTAAAAAAAAAATCGTTATGCCCCTTGATTTAGCAGAGGTTATTACATGGCAACATTTATTGAACGCATACTTTTCGATACAAAAGCACTATTGCTTGTTGAAGTTAAGATTCAACATCGCGTGCACTTCGAAAGAAGACACACAAAGATCATATCTACTATTTAGACACAAGAAGTGCTTTCCTGTAATGAATACTGATACTGTCCAAGACAATCGGTGAAATTACAGTATCTGGTCACGATTATAACGTCACTGTGAATTCACTTCATATTTGAATGCTTGTGACGCTGTATCGAGATCACATATCGAGATCTTTTTGACTTTATTAAGGACATACGCAACGTAGTTCAAACTTTATTGTCTTTTTCCCTGGAGTATAAGAGTTCCAATACTTAAAGGAACTGTGTGCAACATTTTAATGTTTATATATTCTGTTGTACACTTCTTCTTAAACAAGTTTCGATAAACAAAACATCTAGAATATATGTTTAGTAATTTTCGTATATTTTTCTTTAAATTATACAAGAATTTTCATCAATTGATATCTTTTAAAAACCCCTGGTAATGCATGCTGATTTTTTGTATATGGACATCTGATGGCACTAAAATGTTATATTAAAAATATCTTGAAAAATTATCAGTAGGTAAGGTACGTTGCGTATGTCCTTAAATGTAAATGAATTTAAAAAGCTCACATTATGGTAGCTGATATATAAGAAGGGAAACAACTCGTAAACAGAAATATATCTGTAAAAAGAGGATTAAACTACCATTTTCTATTTTCTAATGGCGACTGTGATCATCAGGTAGGTGGGCAGATTTATTTTTGGCCCACGTAATCGAAGATTCGAGGGCATACAGTTTTTTCTCTATCCATCCGTCTGTCTGTCTGTTTGTCTGCAAAAAAAATGGCCCATAACTTTGATTGGTTGGAGCTATGGCTTTCATATTTCACGTGTATTCCTTGTGACAAGTCCTTTCTTTGGGTACCATCATTTTTTACCATGACCTTGACCTTAGAGTTTGACCAACTTTTGCAAAAATTATACCAAACTTTAACATTGGACATGACTTTTGAACGGTGTGTGCTAGGACTGTCATACTTCACATGTGTATTCCATATGGTAAGACCTTCCCTTTGATACCAACAATTTGGACCCTTTAGACCTTGGATTCAGTATCTCATACGTCACGCGTATTTGGATGAATATAAGTATTTCATGTCTTTTTTTCAGTAATATTTTTTTTTGCTTAAAATTTAATATCTTTGTTGCTTTAAATGTAAATTGAATATACAACCGTCTGTCTTTTACGGGATTAGATTATCATTAGAGCACGGGATATATAATGCATGACAAGCTTACCAAAAAAAGTTCTGTATATATAATTCTTTTTTCAAGGGATCCTTTTTATTTCCTGGGATATGGGTGGGTGGGGGTGAAGTCCGAGGTAATTTCTTTTCACTTAACTATATATAGAACTGAGAATCCCCCTTCAGATCCACGGATGCTCATCAATAAAAATGTTTTATTGTTACTAAATTAAGACATGCATCGAATCGCGGAAACATGCACTCAAACAATTAAGACCATTATATCTATTACCTGCGTGGGTAAGTCTGTATCTACATTTCATATTATCCGAAATCTAAATATGCAGAATTTTTCTTTTCATGTCGCTAGCCCGCAGGTTTTCTATAAATAGATTTAAATGACTTGCTCGGTAGTGAGGGTCTGCACGGTTGTGTGAGGCTGTCCTTGTGTAATGGCGGGTTCAGGTAAGTGTAAATATAACCACCAGTGTATCTATCATTTCCTTAATTAGCTCTTGGACGTTATTTTTTCATTCAATGTCAAAATCCCATTCCATCATTTCTACCTTGTCTGAGTATTTCAATTTTTTTTCTCGTGAATATACCTGAACTTGTGGTATTTTAGGGATTTTCTGGTCACGAATTCTCTCGATTGGATTTTATTACCCTCATAAATAACTGACCATTATTTACCAAGCTGTTTACAAACTTTTATTTGGAGTTCATAAACTTGGTAGAATCTTCAATACGAGTTTATGTTCACATTGTGTTTGAACGCTTCCTTGTTTTTTTCTTTGTTGTTTTATGTTAATGTATTTTTAAAAGATTTAAATGGGCATAGAAAATTCATTTAACCATGCAGATGGGAGAATAAATAAACACAGAAATTTATGATCCCTCCCTCAAGTTTTCCCTCTTTATATTTCCTCCAGAATACTTGATTGTATTTAGATAAGAATATTGATTATGCGGATTAACATATATGATTAATTTGTTTGCTCCCTTAATGATTTTAACAAACAGCGTACATAAGTCACATATCAAAATTTTACTTGTTCAAATAACTGAATTGTCAAGACCCTTTATATTTTACTCTACTGTCTAAATAATTTTTACAAACAGCGTACGTAGGAATGTCACTTATACATACAAAATATGACTGCCGTATTCTGTAATTTCTCACACAATTAAAACATAAACATTGTTAAAATTTCCCTTTTCTCGCTGACATTTGTTTATCTTGTATACTGATAATGTAAATACCACAAGTTATCATTGTAGCCTGGATTTTCTTAAGTTTTAAAGAAATGTCATATAGGTGTAACTATATGCGTATTATACCTGTACAGGTGTAACTATATGTATATGTGTCTTGTACATGTATAACTATATGTATCATACCTACATATATAACTTAGCATGAATACTGTTAATAAAATCTGAGTTTAATTTGTCGTATTTAAACAGATGATGTTATTTGTTGTCCTTTGTCGGTATAGTTTTATTACCGAGGGATGGGGTGGTGGTTAATCTGTTTGTCTTTTTTTATGAATTTCCATTATAGGGGTTTAATTGATGTTTCCTCCAGCTATAGACAGTAATAACTGAACTTTGTTATTTGTTAAAATATATTCAAGAGAGAGAGAGGGGGGGATCACCAGTCCATTAATTACTGTTTGTTCAATTCATATGCTCATGATTGTAAGTTATTTTGTATCCACTAATTAATGTTCTCATACAATAATAAAATGATATTGAGGATGTAGAAAGTGTAGTTAGATATATTTTTATTTAAGAAAATTTTTTGATTAGTAAGGAACGTGCCAAAAGGCAAATTGTTTTCATAATAAGGTGTAAAAGTCTGTGAGATTTTTAAATCAGGCACGATTTTTATTCAAAGTAATTTAATACGTCAAAAATGCCTAGCTTCATATTTCCTTGATTTTTAAAAGATAATACAAGCGATCGGACCTAGAGGCTTTAAATATCTACATTCTGTAAAATCTAAAATTATAAAGGGGGGAGGGGGAGGGGTTACGCATATGTAAACGAATATGCTTTTTATGAACTGTTAAGTGTCTTCAATTCTTATGCTAAGGTAAAACAGTGTGATTATGGAAAAAAATATTTCTTAAATCAGAAATGCCTTGGGTTTATCTGGGGGCAGGGACGGGTTATCTGGTTCTCAAGGAGATGGGCGGAAACGTGTAAGATATTTATTGATATCTGTTTCTTTCTATAGATCTAGTATCATTTTATATCTTTAGTTACGTATTTTTTATCTATAGTTACGTATTTTATATCTTTAGTTACGTATTTTTTATCTATAGTTACGTATTTTATATCTTTAGTTACGTATTTTATATCTATAGCTACGTATTTTATATCTTTAGTTACGTATTTTTTATCTATAGTTACGTATTTTATATCTGTAGTTACATACACACTTTAGACGATGTCCATTGGGAAATGAAAACATCATCGTTTTATTTGTTCTTTTCTTGTTAGCTCGGATGTTTTATCTTTTGTAAATTTTCATAATCACCCAAAACAAATATTTCTCCCGTACACATAGCTGCAAATGTGCATATGCTTCTCTAAAAAAAATTGTGATGGACGACCAGAGAGATACAGTGCCACCTATTGAGTACTTCCACAACAAAACAACCCCCATAACTGTTGTAGATAGCATTCCTTTGCCTGAAATTAACATCATCGGAAATTTCGACCAATTATACAGCCATTTTGAGTAGCAAGACAAATCATGGAAAAGTGCTTCGTGCATGGCTTGTGAATACAGTTTTGTTGTGGAAATAGTAAAAATAATAAAAGAATATGTTATGAACACGCGGTGAGTAACATTTTGAGATGGCACTTAAATATACAGAGAAATAAATCGATAAACTTTTATATACACTTTAGTGGACACTGTAGTCTAGTTCTCTGGTTCCATCCCAATCTTTTCAGACCAGTGAGCTACAGATCTTCAATTACCCTATACACAGAATTAAGGACACTATATAAGTGAAAAATGTATAGGTATTAAACATTTCATACGTGTATCTTATTCAATAAATAATGAACTTATTTTTGCATCGGATTCTTTTCGAATACAATATCATAAAATGGCAAAATTATTCTGTTTTAAGTCATCCTTAAAAAGATTATTTGTTAATTTTTTTTTAATAAAGACCTCCATTAAACAGGGAACACATTTTCTGCCTTTTTGGAAAAAGAGTATTTATCGTCAACCAAGAACCCTGATTTGCTTAAATCTGAACTAATTAAGTGTTTTGTGTTAACAGGCCAAGAATTGAGTGTATAAAAAAAATTACATAAATCTTATTTTTGGTCATTTTTTGAAATTTTTTTTTTCAGGAAGGGTCATTTCAATGAGGCGGGAGGCAATTCGAAACACACAATACTTTTATTTTGGCCTAATTGTGAACACACGATTTACACCTCCGTAATTTAAATCCTGCTTTATTTTTAGATAAAGAGCCCAAATTTTCTGATGTCTGCGGTGAAAACATTGCGCTTTCTGACAACCGGAAGATAGCTAGATGGCGCCACAGCTATTCTGCTGGACGGCTGTTTGCTTCGCGCCAAATGTTAAAAGACGAAAACCTTGAAGTCTTGGTTGACGGGAGTGGACACGTGGGGATAGGCATCATCAAAACTGACCCGGGGTCATTGAAGGATCTCCGAGAGGGCACATCATCTGCTTGTAAACCGAAACTGGTGACCGACATCCGGGTACATAAAAGAGAGGGCTTAGTGAAAGTCAAACAGCGGGAAGAAGAAAAGGCCACTAAACTGGACATTACGTATTCAGGTCAAAAGGTCGTGGTCAAGGTCAACAAAGACGAAAAATTCTGGCTAACGTTTGAGCTCAAATTTGGCTCTGCTGTTATTAAGTTTAGTAAGTTTCTTAAATGTTTTCTTTTGTCCTCTGATGCACAAAGCATGACGCTTTAAATTTTTCCATTTTGTGAAGGCAATATGAAAGTTAATTTTAATGGCAATAACTATATCTTCGTTTTTAAATCAGGGACACAAACAAATATAAATGTTCATTTTTTCCTTGGTATACAATGCATGATCAACTTTGTAAAATTAGATCAGTGTGGCAGTGAAAAAAAAGATTCATCAATAAGTCATTATATACATAGGAGACATAAAGCAGTTCACCAATTTTTCTCTCGCTGTGTTTAAAGATTGCTACAGCTCTATTCAATAAATGAGGAATTTAACTCCTTATATTCAAAACCATCGGTAGATTTCCTGTGTTAAGGTTTTCCATCCCTAATAGGACCTAATTCTCTATCCTTAAATATCAATCACGTATATAATACTCTGATATTATATCAAAGCATTTTACAGTAGAAAAGGATTTAGAAAGAGAAAGTTTGAAAAATGTAATTAACTAAGCAGTAATTAATTAACAGAAATTGCATTGAAGGAGACAAGCGATTTTTTGAAAATAAAAATTCAAATTAAAAGAATATCAATAAATAGTGTGGTGGAAAGATTCATTAAATCATTAGAAATAGAATGACAATTGAAACCAATACTGTGGTGGAAAGATTCATTAAATCATTAGAAATAGAATGACAATTGAAAACAATACTGTGGTGGAAAGATTCATTAAATCATTAGAAATAGAATGACAATTGAAAACAATACTGTGGTGGAAAGATTCATTAAATCATTAGAAATAGGATGACAATTGAAAACAATACTGTGGTGGAAAGATTCATTAAATCGTTAGAAATTGAATGACAATTGAAAACAATACTGTGGTGGAAAGATTCACTAAATCATTAGAAATAGAATGACAATTGAAAACAATACTGTGGTGGAAAGAATCACTAAATCATTAGAAATAGGATGACAATTGAAAACAATACTGTGGTGGAAAGATTCATTAAATCATTAGAAATAGAATGACAATTGAAAACAATACTGTGGTGGAAAGATTCACTAAATCGTTAGAAATAGAATGACAATTGAAAACAATACTGTGGTGGAAAGATTCATTAAATCGTTAGAAATAGAATGACAATTGAAAACAATACTGTGGTGGAAAGATTCATTAAATCGTTAGAAATAGAATGACAATTGAAAACAATACTGTGGTGGAAAGATTCATTAAATCATTAGAAATAGGATGACAATTGAAAACAATACTGTGGTGGAAAGATTCATTAAATCGTTAGAAATAGAATGACAATTGAAAACAATACTGTGGTGGAAAGATTCATTAAATCATTAGAAATAGAATGACAATTGAAAACAATACTGTGGTGGAAAGATTCACTAAATCATTAGAAATAGAATGACAATTGAAAACAATACTGTGGTGGAAAGATTCACTAAATCATTAGAAATAGGATGACAATTGAAAACAATACTGTGGTGGAAAGATTCATTAAATCGTTAGAAATAGAATGACAATTGAAAACAATACTGTGGTGGAAAGATTCATTAAATCATTAGAAATAGAATGACAATTGAAAACAATACTGTGGTGGAAAGATTCATTAAATCATTAGAAATTGAATGACAATTGAAAACAATCTTTTACCGTATAGGTTTTTTAAAATTGATTTTCATTACTTGAAAAAAAGAGGGAGATAACTCTTCAACAAAGGCCAAGGTAATAAATTAGGACATGTTCCATTCTTACATGCTAATAGTAATAAATGGGAATTATGTCTAAATATACTGAGTATTCCATCCGTACACATCTGTTATGTATTCAAATTCACTGAATCTGAGGTTATTAGGGATGGAATACCTTAATTTTTTTTTTTTTTTTTTTTTTTTTTTTTTTTTTTTTTGCGGTTAAATGAAATTTAACGAATGCGGATCTATTTTTTATGCCATATCGATATGTAAGATTGATTTCGAATAAGAATGAAATACGTAATTTGTTGTGTAACTTATTTTGTTTTGCTAATGACGTAAAGAAGGAGAAGGGAATGCATTTATTGCCAGCGGAATAAATATTACTCATAAATCTATTAACTGTAACCACGATTTTATTGAGCACACACGCCATTTGACAATTGTGGGAGTGTAGGAATTTAATTTTCAATGAATTTAGTGCAACCTGATACATCTAACATCTGATAGATCTAACATACGGACGTCGACCTTTTTTTTAGGGAGCAATTTTTAATCATACACGAAATAAAATATATCACGGACTTTTTACAGGTGGGACATTTTTAAGTCTCTTTGCAGGGAAGTTCTCGTGCACCCAGGGAGGGCTTTGATATCTTGAGGACAGATCACTTGCCTTCTGATTTATTGATATTTTGTAAATATCATAATCTTGTCACCACATGTAGGCACACATTCGGGTCTCTGTGACACAGATATCGTTACTGGTACATACGGGATCGATACCGGCGTCTAAATAAACAGATTTTGGGTTATCTTATTGACAAGTTCATTGTAGATGTTGACGACTGTCCTCTCACTCTAAGTAATGACAAGATTTTCAGACGTACATGTATGAATTCGTATTTCTTTAAATATTATCAAGGATAAATGTATACCTCAAACATCAGGTGTCACTATTTTAATACTTTCTATATGAAAGTTTATCACAGTGAAAGAATATTATTGAAAGTTGTTTTTTTTTTAACTTTGATTTGAAAAAATAAAAAAAAGTTTTCTTGTTAAAACCCAATCAAAACAAAATATTTAGATAATAACAAATTAATTCATTAATTACTAATTAATCACTAATTAAAACAGGAAATTGCAGATACTGAACAGCAGCAGTAAAACAAATGTATAAAAACATTCTACTGATAATATCAGATACAGTGTATAAAGCACGTTATATATCGCTTGTATCAAGCACCTTTATGATTAACCTTATACAATGCAGTTTCACCAAAAAAGAAGTAATTATATGTGAAATTTAGAAATTTATTTTAAAATTAAGAATGATCTCCCTCTTGCATAGCTCTGATCCTTCGACGCATTGGCTCCAGTCTTTGCCCCCCTCCTTTTAAGCTCTTTAAAGTTTTTTATAAATTAAATATTTTGGATTTCCAACGTTTCGGCATGACCATCTCTGAAGAGACATGATTTGTAGAAATGCGCCTCTGGTGCATCAAAATTGTACCATGTAAGATTTACATCTGTAAAATATCGATGTCCATTAATAAATTGATGTTTTGTTTCTTGTTGATGAATCAAAAATGTTTAAAAAACTGAAAAAATCTTTTTGCTGAGGAATCAACTTAAACTTTAATGCTACCGATTACTGCTACATTTTCTTGAGTGTGTTATCTCTCAGCTTAAACATACAACTTATTATTGTTTATTTTCTAATCCTAAAACTTTAATTGTTTCTTTCAGAAAGTCCTGACATATCATTCCACCAGAATGCAGGCAGAAATATAAGCTTTCTCGACAAAGAAAGAAGATCGGCGAAACTTGATGTGGAATATCCCGCAGTCACGTGCTGTCTGTGGAGGAAGTTACGTATGAACGAATACGTCACCTTCAGTGTACTTCCGCTTAAGGACGGCGAGAAGGACCCGTCTACATATTTTATGGTGCTTGGTGCGAGTCAATTAGAACCGGTCCAGCTTCGTTCACGGGATCCAGAAAGTTTCAAAGCGGACTCTCGCGCGCCGTTACCTTCCCGATGGAAAGTTATTAATAGATTCGATAAGGATGTCTGTTATGGCGAGGTCCGGGTGGGGATTGGGTCAAACGGCCGGATTCGTGCTTTTCACTCAAGTGGATTCGAAACGGAAATGGACTTTGATCCAGAAGAGAAGTCATCGCAATATCTTTTTGTTCTTAACTTGTTCAGAACCGAAGTCAGAATAAAAGAGTTCGTGGAGGAAGAGACACATTATGATTATGCCCTGAAATCCTTTCGGAAAGCTTCTAGAAAATATCAGTCTGATTCTGTATACATAGATATCATTGACGACAATACCCCCGTACATTATGATACGCAAGATGAACAGGACTTAAGGCGCGTAAAAAGCCGAAGCTTTCCGATGGCTAACCCAACACAAGGAGATGTAAAGGAGAGACAGTCTCTGGCATTCCGTCCTCGAGAACCCTCGGATAACTACTATGACGATGTGGCATTGGGGAATCCAGAGAGCACCGATCACTCCGAGGAAACATCACAGACTGAGGCAGTGTACTGTGACGTCATAGGAGAAGGAAGTACAGAAGATTGCGAGTCCAAACTAAGGCAGTTACCTGTGTATAAACATTCGGTAAAACCTGAACGTCACTATGATGAGATCATAATCGATAACGAATCAAGTCCAAAACTGGCTAAAAAGTCAAACAAATCACCTCAGATAATCCGTAAACCTGTCTCATTGCTTCTGGATAAAGTTCAGGGAATTAAAAATGTGTTTACCAAGAGAGCAGAACACCCGTATGATGAGGTGAGAGATGAGGAAATCAAGACTGATAGGGTTTCTAATAGCTTGGGGACCACACTTGTATCGGTTCCCTCCGATGACGTCACAATAGAAGAAAACACATACTGGGAGGTACAGGAAGTCCCCCGAAAAGAAAAAGAAAAGGTAGCACCACAGGTTACAAAGACTGGGAACAATGGAACACTTGTCTCTCAGTCAAAAGATGGATCAAAAGAAACACAAGTCATAAAGAGTACGGAAATTAAAGAAAATAAAGCAGGCGTCAATGAATTACGAGAGAGACTAGAGTTTCAGCAGAAAAAAATGGTAAAAAGTGAGAGTGAAAGTTGCATTTCAAAAGCAACCTTGCATGAGACAAGTGACAGTGACAATGAGACACAGAATAATGTTAACGTCAAATTACTGATTCAAAAGTTTGGTGGAAACGAAAACGAGACTGGAAAAGTAAAAAGTTGTGCTCTGCGTGAGAAAAATCCTAGGACACCAATTTTTCATACAAGTCCCTCAGCACCGGCACTCTCTAAACGATCGAATTCTGACGATAATCTCGCATTGTCTCGCTCCGTCTCACATAATCCCGAACAACCGAGGAATGAAAGTGAGGCTGTGATGAAGAGTACACAAATAAGTTCCTCAGACTTAGCTGATAAGATGGAGAAAACGTGTGTGCTTAACGAGACATTTGACTCTATAAATCTTTTGCTGAACTTGGGGAAGGGAAAACATAAAGGAAAGGACAAGAAAAAATAAACAAAGGGAAGGGAAAATAGTGAGAGAAGAGGGGAAATAAAGAAATAAACTTAGGGTGGGGAAAAAGGGGAAATAAAGGAAAGAACAACAGAAGATAAACTTAGGGGAAGTGGGGGGGGGGGGGGGAGGGAATAAAGGAAAGAACAAGAAAAAAATAAACTAAAGGAAGGAAAAGGAAAAGACAAGAAAATTACTGGTTTGACGTCTTTTTAAAAGGATACTTACTGTTCAAGATTAATTGTCTCAGATACCTCAGTATATGTGCCATTGTGATTAGCTGTCGCGGGTCTCTCTTGATGGAAACACATTATATTTTCATTTTCTTTATTGATACATATATTTTGTACATGCATCCTGAGCTTTGTGATATCAGAGAGAGAGAGAGAGAGAGATTCAAATTTATTATTTATATGTGATTTGTTTTTGATATACATGTATTATTAAATATTTACATATTACCAGTATCTATTATAAACGTGTTAGTGTTATTAAAAGATGCTCGAGTTTCTGATTGACCATATCTATGTAGCGTTTGGAGTTAGGTCTTCCAACAATCTGTCGGAATTGCCATGGGTACCATTTGCACCTCGTTATAAGCAGACCTACTTTCATATTCATATGAAGCAGAATTTATTCATAAACTTTCACATGAGAAGAAGAAGACACTAGCTGTGGCATTAAATTCGACATTTAGATATATCGATGACGTATTATCAATTAACAACAGTTATTTCCATTCATATGTCGACTCGATATATCCCAGTGAACTTTAAATAAAAGATATCACAGAGTCTGACACATCTGTTTCATATTTGGATATTTTACTAGAAAAAAAAACACTTTAATGGTAGCCTAACAACAAAACTTCATGATAAACGTGAAGACTTCAACTTTTCTATCGTAGACTTTCCTTACTTAAGTAACAATATACCCTTATTATCTGCATATGGGATTTATATCTCCCAGTTCATTCGATACGCAAGAGCATGCTCCACGTACAAAGAATTTCTAAAACGAGGCAAGCTACTGACAAACAAATTGATGAAACAAGGATATCAGGATATCAACACTCTTGTTTGATGTAATCATTACGCAAGTTCTGGAGTCGATACATTGACCTTGTCAGCAAATACAATCTATCATCAATCTAATGATGACTGACGTTTTTCATACTAATTGTTAGGCCATTATTTACACATGGAATTATCTGCAGATTTTTCCCTTTTTGTTTCCGGCGGGTGTGACTGGTCGTCAGGGGATGTTTACTCCTCAATATCACCTGGCCCCACCTCCGATGTTTTTATTTGTATTTTTCCTATGGAATTTGAGCTTGATAACTGTTCGTTATCTCCATATTTGATAGTCATTCTCCACGTAAGTACAAAAGAATTGGTTTGGTGACCTGTTAGGCGTAGCCTGTTAACCCATAGTTTTTTTTTAAAACTTTCTAACGAAACACTTTAAAACCTGTCTCTACATAAATTACCTTATCACGGCTATATAAGCTTATACAAAACAACCTTATAAAATCTATATAAGCTTTTACATACATCCCGATTATCCAATGATTTCAGCTATTATATACTCACTGAGTAACATGGCTTCGACCTGTTGAACTACAATGTATTTACACAATGAATTACTGTAAACATGGATATGTACATGACATTGTGTTGTTAATTACGTGAATAAGTAGGAATTATTTACACGATACCAATATGATACAAAGGTATCAACGCAAACCATCTTAAATATCTCGCATTTAGTGTAAATTACCCCTATGCGTGAATTTAAATGTTTACAGTTCATAAATTCGTATTTCCTGTGAAACTCTCCCTAAACTCAGGAAAAAAATTTGCTTTCGCTAAAATTAAGTTCATTACAGTTCCTCTTAGTTTTCCAAATTCAACAGTAATCATTACCAGTTCTAATGACAGTCCTTATGTGTAAAACTTTACAGTCATTATCTGTAAAAGCAACACTTCACGATATTGCCAAGATTCTGTCATATAAATTCTCCATCACAGATAAGAATTACCTGTTACGACAAATCTCTATTATTTTTTTTAATTCAAATTCATTTTCTAATTACTACATTTAACTGTCCTCATGTTTATATGTAGCGATGTAGTTCATTGTCAGAATCCGTATTCATAAAACCTAAATATCGGCTCCTCTAAGAACGCCCTTTTTAGTACTGTATCTCCGTCGCTATGGTAACCAATGATGCCCAGACTTCCTCAGCGTTTGGTATAATTTCTGACTCGGCCAGGATAAATCCGGATTGTCCAAAACTAGCCTCCGCCGGTCTCATTTCGTAAGTGTACGCGTATTTGATTCCCGCCACCGACTTCGCCCAATCATAGGATCCACCAGAGGCGGCATCTTTGAAACAAAAAAGAAATTTCCATAAATAAGGATTACTGACAAGATATTTTTGTGTCTCTCAAATTGATTGCAAAAAGCTCAATACCCATACTGAAGTCATGCTCTTCAATGTTTTACAAACGACATAATATGTTTGAAACTACTTTGTTTATTAACATAGGAAGTAAAACTGTATTCCTACACAGGAGATCAGGTGGAGTTCCGGCGGTGTACACCTCTCCGTGGATTGTCTTCAATGACGCCATGCCAGCTTCCGCTACCCGCATCTACAAGAATAAAGTTTGTTGGTAACGTTTCGAATAGTATATATTATAATTGAAACAACCGAATTACATCTGTATAATGTGTGAGATACATATGTTCTTTAGATTATCTGGATATCATTTCTAAATTATGAAAGCCACGTTTCAAGGTTTAAGAGTGATGATGTAATGATGGATTCCGTAGTGTGAGAATTGTTTCTGTAATATGCTGAGTTTTTATGATATTTATTGCTGTAATATGTGCTAGGTTGATAATCTTACCATCTCTGAATTATCAAAGAGTTTGAAGTAGATGTGACTATGACTCATATTACATGTATATGCTAGCTTTTATGTATCTCACAATTTCTGTAATATCTTTGATGTATCTTACCATCTTATCATCTCTGAATTGTCCGAGGGTATGATACTGATGTATCTACGTGTCTACGATTTCTGTTATGTATATGATAACTGTTTATGTTACTAACAATTTCTGTAATACTTATTAGTAAAATAATGTTTCTAACCATCTCTTAATTATCCATGGATTTGATGTTGGTGTGTCTAGGATTCCTGTTACATGTATATGCTAGCTGTTCATGTTACTTACAGTTTCTGTAACGTGTGTTTTCTACCATCTCTGAATTATCTGAGGGCTTGGTGTTGGTGTGTCTCTGATTCCTAATACATGTATATGCTAGCTGTTCATAATGTCTCTTACCATCTCTGAATTATCTGACGGCTTGCTGTAGGTGTAGCCGTACGGTGTCAGTAAGAGCTGGGAGTAAGCATGGAACGATAGAAACAGCTTGATCCGGGCTCTCTCTGACAATATAGCGTCACGGATGTTGCTAGTTTCTGACTCGGAGAAGGCTCTGCTTCCGGGATAAATGTCGCTACAGGGATTGGTGCTTGTACCTGCACCTGTAAGGTAATTTTAAAAAAAGAGAAAAATATTCTGCTAAGCCGTAAATAATTTAAATTTTACACTACAAACCGTTAACTTGTGTTACAAGGTACTCTGTGTAATTTCTTTGCATAATGTATCTGTTAAAAAAGTTTTTATTGATTTCAGCGTCAGTTTATGCTAGTTTAGGGATTATAAAAAAAACACCTCCAAAGGAGATGTCAAAGTTTCTGTTTGGGTCCACTCCAACACATCGACCTGACTGGCGACTCCGAGTTTTCCTCCAAAGTCGATCCTAGAAAATACATTTAGTAAGAAAATGTCATGAAATCCAGTGCACATAATCAGTGTTTTCAAAAAACGAGTCCCATTTCCATTGCCATTGTAACTAATATAACATTTACTTTTATGCTCAAGTAATCGAAAATACGGGGGCATGTTGTTTTTGTTGGTCCGTCTGTTTCTTTGCAAAAATTTCAACCTTGCCTATATCTTTTGATTGGTTGTAGCTAGGGCATTCGTATTTCACATATGATTCCCTTCTTAGAATACTAATATATTTTACCTTTTGACCTTGACCTTGGAGTTTGATAATCTTTTTCAAAATTTTAACAAACTTTAACCTTGACCATAACTTTTGAGTAAATACACACCGTATTGTGGCTGTACTCATATCCATCTGGGTTGGCCGAGGGAATGATGTGCCAATCAAACTCATCCATCAACCGTGTCACCTCAGAATCCGACCCATATTCTGTCAAAAACTGTATATAAGAGAAAGGATAAATCAATTAACCGTGTCACCCCAGAATCTAGCCCGAATTCTTTCAAAAAGTGTGTAATAGAGGGCGGAATATCATTAACCGTGTCACATCAGAATCAGGTCTAAATTCTGTCAAAAACTGTGTAAAAGAGGGCAGAATATCATGAACCGCGTTACATCAGAATCCGACCTATCTATCAAAAAATGTGTAATAGGGGACGGAAAATCATTAACTGTGTCACATCAGAATACGACCTGCAGTTTGTCAAAAATGTGTATAAGAGGAAGGAGAAAATCCTTAACCGTGTCGATAGATAGATAGATATTTATTTTTCAATACATACCCGCTTTTTTTAATATATGTTAAATATAGATTGTGTCTCATAGTTTTTTTTAATCTCAGTTGATATTGCATATTTGGTGAGGTTCTTTTAATATAAATTTTCGTTGTCTAATATAGTATGCCTTGTTTATTGTGTAGATGGCAGTTGCAGGTGCGATCCATTCCCTGCCATGAATTCCGGCCTCGATCCAAATCACCGGCTTAGTCCGCGCTTCATTGTTTTTACCAAGCTAAAAAAAAAATGAATTTTCTTTGAACAGGATAAAAATCAGTGTATTGACAATCCATTATTTAATAACATAAAAATATAAAGTGAAATTTTGAAATTAGAATTAAATTTTTTTTTGGAAATGTACTGTAAAAATGGTATTTTTGGCAAGGATTCAATTTTAGTATTATTAGCATGGGTTTTGAGATCGATAAAATTGAACATTGCTAACAATTTATTCTGCACCGATAGTTATTACTTTTATTTCTGGACTTAACTAACTGCTAAAATTACTTTGCGCAAAAACAATATTTTGAGATAAGTCGCTCAATTTATGTCTCACTTAAATTTCCACTTATAAAAATACGGCACCCAAAGAAGCAATTTATTCAAATGTTTAGAAAAAAAAAATATAAGGTTTTTACAAGATGTAATAAATACCTTTATAATTTTCATGTCTCGACCTTCGTACGACGTTCCCAAGGACTCCACTTTAGCGAGTGTGGGGTATTGTAACGCCACGCTCGTAAGCCAACTGTCGATCTGAGCAAATAATTAAATTCAATAAATATCAACCTCTAAACAATAGAAAAAATACTAGTATTCCTTTCTGTAAATTCAGGTAATTCTTAATCATTATTTCGATACTTCTGGAATATAATATAATTTAACATGCATTTCAAGAAATACTTTTGGAATGCAGCACATTTAATAAACATTGCAAGGAAGTTTTAATTGCCAGTGTAGTTCAATGTATTTATTTCCCGATCATGACAAGGAGCACATGGCGGGTGTGACCGGTCGACATGAATGCCGTACTCAGTGACAAATAAATAAAATCAGCAGAAGATGTTTACAACGTTATGGATTCAGACATATTGACGTAAATGAAGCACTGAGTCTATCATAAGATTTAAATGTTTCACCTCGGAATGTCTTGCGAATTTTCCCACGATATCTTGGTTTTTGGGATTATTCAAGGGAGTGATAATGGCGCCTGTTGAGTCGATGACGTAATCAGGACTCTGCATGGAGGATTGTTCCTGGTCAATTACACTTAAAAAACAATTAAAATTCGTCATTGGTTTAAGAACATACGAAAATCAACGTTTAAAGCAATGACACATTGAATGCACCATTGGACAAGCCAAAATGTATTCAACCAAACTCAACCAAGTACAGAAAATAAAATTTGTGAGACAAAATCTTTACTTTAATTTCTTTCTGAAGTGAAATTAATCAAAATGATTGCGGTAACGAGGCATCTAAAATTCTGTGAACTATACCTTTGTAAATCATGGACTAAAATGATTGGTTGTAGGCCAACACGTGACAGTCGCTTTATGAGGTAATTGTACATTTTTATTGGCACGTGAATTTCTACATCAGTGTTTAAATGCGGTCTCTTCCAGAAGTCGATCTAAAATAATGAAATCTGGTGATTTGTAAACTTTGAATTAAAAACATTAAGAATACATGTCATGAATACCATTTTTAAATGTCATTAAAAATTATCTAAAGTTGGGGTGGTTGTTCTAAAAGAAAAATAAATGAAAAATGAAAGGGTAATGGTCAATTTTGGTAAGGTGGGTATGAAATTAGACATAGAAGTGGACATAAGAATATAAAAGAAGTATTCCTATTGTCAGAGTGTATAAGAAATTGTAACCGCAGAGATCAAAATTGGCATAAATTGAAAAGGCTTTTTTCCAGTTGTAAGAATAAGGAGGAATAGTAGGAATACCTTTAGAGGAAAAGTAGGAATACCTTAAGAGGAATAGCAGGAATACCTTCAGAGGAATAGTAGTAATACCTTAAGAGGAATAGTAGGGATACCTAAAGAGGAATAGAAGTAATACCTTAAGAGGAATAGTAGGAATACCTTAAGAGGAATAGTAAGAATACCTTAGGAAGAAAAGAAGGAATACCTTGAGAGTCGGGTTGTCTTGTAGTCTTTCCAGAGCTCGGACATGGTCATTCGTAGTGGGGTGGATACGAATCAACTTATCCCTGAAATCCAGAAATTAAAATTTAACAAGTCAGTTATAATCTAACAACTCAATCATCTAACCCTTACCTATCTCTTACGAGTAGAGAATAATAAAAGGTAAAAAGAGTATAGAATACATGTATGGAGAGTGGATAATGGTTCTGTTACTTTTGGAATGCAGAATAATTTAACAACAATGACAGGAAATACTAGTACTGGATTCATTTCCAAAGATGACATACTGTTAAATATTTCATATACAAATATTTGATATTTATGCGTAATTGTGTATCAAATTAAAAATAAATTTGCTTATTTTCTTTTCTGTTTAATTCTAGAAAATAATTTGTGTTTTGTGTATTTTTCGTGCTTTCAACATTTAAAACATGTACACCAAGTTACTTGTAATAGTTCATTACATTGGGAAAAAAATGTCAATTAATTTAAGATTTGACAGTTTGTCAACTTTACGTTGGGTTACAAGTGACTTAATGTACAGTTTTTAAATATCCAAATTTATTATTTTGTGTATCGTAAAAAACAAAAGATAACATAACAAAAATGTTTTACCTACAGACAGTAACACTTTTGGATACTGCCTATTTACTTACAGATGGTAACTCTTTCTGGGATTCTGGACTGGGACAGATCCTACGGATGCTACTAACAAGATAACAAACGTCCAGAATTTTACTTCCATTTTGTGCAGTGATGGATAAAAGCTTCGTACGTCTGGTTTTATTCTTGTCTTAATGTTGCGAGATTATCAGAAGTTCTCATATAATGATAGAATGGCATTTTTTATTAAATATAGCTAGGAAACGTACATAATTATGTAGTATTGGGTATTTGGCACTTGTAAAATTTCATTTAGTGTTCAGAGTAAATATTGCATCTGATAAGTACAAAGGATCAAATATTTAATGAGATACCGGAACAAGTATATTGCATTGTATTTATTATAAACTAGTTATTTACATCAACTGTAATTTACATTTGATATAAAAATTTCTAAAAAACAAGATTTCAGAAAATCATGGATGTACAAATATCATTTGAAAAGTTTTTTAACACGTACAAAAATAAAACAAAGCATTGAATTGTTGTACATTGTGTGCTGATTGTAAACCTCCGCCAAATGGTGGCCAAAAAGTTATAAAAATAATCAAATTACTTTAATAGTAATGACATATTATAACATGGAAATCAAGAGGATGTAAATAAAAAAGAACAAATGTAAAATCTGGTAAACTCAATCAAATAAAGGAAGCGAACATCTTTGTCTTATTTTTTCAATTAATCTTACTGAGAAGAGAGTTGCCTGTCTTGTCAAAAACTCCTGTAACTTTTCTTTCCTTTTCAATGAAGGTAACGAACTGTAATTATGCTCAAAACTCCATTTACACAATTACAATTTGTAAGCAAAGCAAACGGGGACCTCTGAAAACAGAGGTGGGATCAGGTTTCATGGAGGAGTAAGCATCCCCTGTAGACCGGTCACACCTGACGTTGCACCTTGTCAGGATGCAACTAATTCTCTATAAAATAGCGAAGAAAAAAACCTTATCACTGTCTATGAGTGATGAAACATAGAGAGTAAATGGGACTTTAAGGTATGTCAATCGTCATCTTATGTCAAAAGTATTGATCATTTCGTTTTCGTAGCAAATTTGAAATAAACAATGAAAATGATAGTGATACAATATTAATAATACAATATAAAATTTGCTTACAATGTCGATAAGAAATAAAATTTATGGGGAACTATTTCTTATGGTGGAATGAATCAAAATCAATACAATAGTCCAATTCGACATTTAGATATATCGACGACGTATTATTAACAATAGTTATTTCCATTCATATGTCGACTCGATAAATCCCAGTTGATTTACATCACTGGACCCAACTTTTTATTTCATATTTTGAAATTCCAATATAATTTCTAATGGTCAGCAACCAGCTCATAAAAGGCTTGATATACGAAAATATTTTATTGCCGTTTTGATTCCTGAAATATGATATTTTATCAATGAAAAAAGTTCTCATGTTTTATAAGCATTAATTTGCAGTATTTTTTTAATAATAAATATTATACTATTTAAACTATTTTGCACAGAATACTATTATACTTATCTTGCCATGATAACATCTGGTAAAAATGATGAAGGTTTAAATGATTAACCTTAAAGTTACAATTCAAGTGCAGAAAGGTCAAATTAATTGTACCGCTGCTCAGTAAGATGCACACTGACCTCAACTTTCTTTGCGATTTTGATTGATGCTGTATGAGTAGATTGCTATACTTCTCAAAAATATCATTAATATACCCATGTCAAGATTGACATACCTAAACTTAAGGGTTAAAATAATATCATCATTTTTCAGAATTCAATATATCCGGAGGTATATTTTGCAGATTTAAACAACACTGAGCGATCTTTGCCTGGAGATAAACATTGTTCTATATGAATACTATAAATAGTTTTGCCGTTAGTTTGGTATCATCAATGTCTAATTTTGAAATGAAATTTTGTATCTTTTGGGGGGATCAGGACATTATTTATTTAATCGTCTTTTAATTATCCTTCACGTGTCCATACATACTGTCAGTTAGTTGTGTAACATTATGGAGTGTTGTCGGAATGCCATACGTGTCATGTCCTGTCCTTTTTGGATCGTCATATAAATCTATATCACAATTATCAAGTTTTATTGCCGTTTTTATCCTACTGTCATACAAATTGTCTGTCATCGTCTTATCATGTAATAATGACTGGTCCCTGATTGTGACGTCATAGATTCCACTCCTCTGTTCCTTTGCATGGTCATAGAGATCATGGTCATTATCAGTTGTCTGTCTCTGTTGTCTCAAAACATCATATTCTTCCGGTTCTTCTTTCTCATTTGTTAAAACAGCTTTCATTGCAACATCGTCTTTTGGTTCTTCTGAGGTTATCGTTTCTTTATTCTTTGTTTTCTTCAATCTTCAGTACAAATGAAAAACATTTTTAATATAAATTTGAGAAAACTGCTAAACTTGCCTGTAAAGCCATCAAGCAGCCTCGGGACTTATAATTTGTTGACAATTAGATGTACATGTCCAGTTATGAAAATAAGTATCTTCAAATGAAACCTTTAAATCATTTTTCAATTTTTTTTATTTCATAACATTTCAGTAGATTTTTTTTAAATAATGTTATTTTACCTTATAGTGACGCAGATAATCACTGTTAAAAGAATGACCAGACCCAAAAACGAAGAAGGTATGATAATAATCAACACATCAAAGGAATATGAAACTAGAAAAAAACACAACGTTATGTTCAATACAAGCTATGTTAAGCTATTATTTACACACTGAGTAGTCTACGGATTTTTCCGTTTGTCGTTTGACAAGGTGACCACGACGGGTGTGACCGGTCGAAACATGATGCTTAATCCTCCATGGCACCTGATCCCATCTCTGATGTTTTAAGAGGTCCGTGTTTCCTCTGATCCCGATTTATATTGTTTCAATGGACTTTTAGTGCTTAATTACTGTTCGTTATCTCCATATTACATTAGACGCAAATGAGTAAACTGGTTAGATTGAATGTAGAACCAAAATAGCAAGTTTTGAAAGTATACACTATTTCTCTATAAATGCATAATCATATTTATCATCTAATCATTTGTCTTTAAGATTTCAAAATTTCATCATAGACAAAATAGGTTACACTATCAAAAGACAAACCCTGCATAAGATCAGCTTAAAAATTATTTGTTGTTTTTGATTCGTCTGAGTCGTTTCTTTGAACTGTGAATAAAATGAAGAAATCTAAGTCTTTATATCTCTATGCATTTCAATTGCAGCAACAATATAGAATATTTTCATATGAAGGTAGTTTACCAGCTGGTTCAATTAATAATTCGCAAATAAACGGAAACTTTTCCTTTCTTTCAGTCGTATATTCAAGAACAATGCTGTCATTTCCCTTCTTGCTGAGAACACCAAGTGCCTTTTCTGTTAAAATAAATAAATGAAGTCTATCATTACAGCAACTAAATATCCATTGCAGGAAAATACACAAGTAAACGAAAATAAGGTAAGTTATTTAATCAATAAAAATTTAGTTTTCAAACAATCAATGATGAATATTTCATCTAAAATGTTTCATTAGAGACTTTGAAACTGCTATTGAAACGGCTTTTGTGCTATCAAAAAAACACACACATACACAGAGTATTAGGGATGTCAACGAATAGTCGACTATTCGACTATCAGTCGAATGGACCGACGATCGAATAATGAAACGACATTCGAATATTATTTCAACTAAATAAATGAGTGATAGATGAGATGGAATTCTCATCAAAAAAATAAGAAACAGTTTTTTCTCAAAGACAGTCGATAATTTTCCTCAACAAAAACGGTAGATTTTCCATGTACGTATAGAAAGTACAGCAATTATAAGTGCTTCACTACTGAGAGAATTAATTGTCAGTAACTGTCTTTGTTGTGTTTGTAATAAATTACCAACCAATATAATGGGCTTTGTTTGTAAAATTATTAATTGGACTTGATCTTATACCATGTACCAATTATCTTTTGTTATTTAAAGTTTGCTCAAATGCAAGGAATAAACCTGTTTTGATACATCGATAATTATTAAAACAATGCGTTTACATTTCAAACTGTTTGAAGACATTTTGTTAGCTCCCCCCCCCCCCTTCCATTTTATTTAATAATAAGCTTTAAAAAATATCGGCTGGCAATTTTTTAATGCTCACTAAATAAAAAATGACTGCATGTACAGGCCGATTTATGAATTCTATTTACGGGAAAATAATAAATTTTGGAGAATTAGGTTTCTAAATTTATTTCAAAGAATCATGCTATCCACGCGTTACGTTGCATTAATTTCGATGTTACTTTTTAAATAGATTTAAGTAAAAAGGTTTCTGAGTATTAACCAATGAAGTATGAAATAAAATTTTATTTTCAGAAAATGTTCCGAATATTCGACTATCGTTCGAATAATGCAATCGAATGATCGACTAAGGAAAATAAGTATTTTGACATCCCTACAGAGTATGTAATTTTTAATTCAGGAATGATGAACATCAAGAAGCGTGTCAGGACTTCTCAAACCAAAACTTCAAAGGGATTCTTAAAGCTTTCTCCAGCTATTTTTGGAAGCTATTTTGTGAAGGAGGGGACGGATAAAATAGACATAGATTTTTGGATGTAAAAGTGGAAAATGACGAACAGTGACCAATCTCATGAGAAGAATACAAATCACGAACAGGAAAAAGGTCAGATCTACGAAAAATTATGGTCAACGTAATTGTAATAATATACACGTAATTTTATCCAAGTGGGACATTTTTCCGCTTAATCTGTGAGCACGCATATATATGTCCGCAAAATATCATCATAACGGACTAAAATGCTCAACTACACATGTACAATCAAAAGCATGGCATTTTTATTTCTAGTGAAATATTAAGGAAGCTAATACTAAACACTAACAAAAAGTACTTTTTGGACTTGAAGAAACATATATCATATACAGGTGTGTATATTGGGACTATTTAGTTCATTTTCAACATAGGGTACCTGCCTTATTTCCGCAGGAAAAATGTTCAAAGACAATGGACTATTCGTGAGCAGAAATCACTGTTGTTTACTTACATTGGGAATATTAATGGAAATGATGAGTTCAATTATTAATTTTTGGTTTAATATAATGCTAAGAATATTTTATTACAAATTGTGTAATTAACTGTAAACAACCATTTTTTCTTATCTTTCTTCTAAGGGCAGTTCACTCTAACTTCATAAAACTACCCTTCAAGAAGAACTCTTTTGTGTGCAGTGTTTAGAGCTTCCTTAAGATAACAAATACTAATCAAGCTCATGAGGTTATTGGAGCAACACAAAGTGGGAACAGAGCAATAAGGGAACTTTAAAAACATCATAGGTACCATGGAGGAGTAAACATCCCTGTCGAGTCGAGGTTACAATCGCCATGTGCTCTTTGTAATAATCACGCAAACGGAAAAACCGGAGACAATCCATTGTGTGAATAATTGCTAAACAGTTTGCTTTTAAAACCTCAGTCAACATTTGACTTAGAGACAGAATGTATTTTCTAAATAAGACGACGATCAGTTTGCATTTATATGTAGCTTAAGTTGTAAAAAATCTATTTGATTGACGAATTAATGTACAAATTTTATGCAACTTAAATATTAATAAACATATCAAGCGAGTTTTTATCTTAAATGAATGGTACTTGCCAAAAAAAAGCAGGCCTCACCAGAATCATGACAATTAGGGATATTTTTTTGTAAAAGAATACAAAGAAAATGTACATTAATTAGGTAATGACTCTTTTACAAAGATTGATCGAAAGTTTTGTTTGTTTGTATGTTGTTTAACGTCCCTCTCGAGAATTTTTCACTCATATGGAGACGCCACCACTTGCCGGTGGAGAGCTGCAAATTTTGTCCTATACTCGGCACTTACGGCCATTGAGCAGTGAGGGATCTTTTTCGTGCCAGCACCTACTGCGACACGGGACCTCGGTTTATACAGTCTCATCCGAAGGACCGGTCTCCACGTCCCGCAGTGGGATTCGAACCCGCGACGTAAGGATCAACTCCTTACTTCGCGACTCTAGAGCAGACGCTCTTACCACTGCGCCACGCGGGCGACTTGATCGAAAGTAAATGTGTATGGCATAAATCGTTAGGGTTTCCTGTGCTATTTTGAGTATGTACTGGGTTTTCTTAAAGAGATAAATGTAATATAAATTAAAGAACCAGTAGCTTGAAGGGGGTGTCAAATAAGGAATATAATTTTTGCCTTTCTTTCCGGAAAACAGAACGTTTGCATCAGTGTATAGGATGATTTTATTTTAAATCATTGTTGTAAAATGTATTGCAAATCGAATTGCACTGAATGATTAAAGTGATATGTTTTCTTTTCATCGTTTTGATCTGAGAAGTGGAAGTAGGAAGGTAAGAATATCTTCTTCAAAATCCTGACTTGAATCTAACAGAAAATATATGGTTTGAACCTAACAGAAAGTATATGATTTTGGAAAATTTGAAATCACAAGATTTTACCAAAATCAACAGCTTAAAAACTTACGACTTTTCAACTTTTTACACAACCATGATAACACGATAAATTAAAGTCCAGGCTTTTTGATATCATTGACAGCTGCTTTTTCAATAAAAATTGAACTCGTAAATTTACTTACCTTGTCATTCGTCCTTTGCAAAATTATTTTCTTCAAAATCATTCTGATTGTACATTGTACACACAAGTACTCTGAAGTTGACATTAAAAAGATGCTTGAGTTTCTGATTGACAGTATCTATGTGGTTTTTGGAGACCAGGTCTTTCAACAATCTATTGGAATTCCCATGGGTACCAATTGCGCCCCGTTATTAGCAGACCTTTTTTGTATTTATATGAAGCACAATTTGTCTAAAATCTTATACGTGAAAAGAAGAAAACACTTGCTGTGGCCTTCAACTCGACATTTAGGTATATTGACGACGTATTGTCAATTGACAACGGTTATTTCCATTCTTATGTCAATACGATATATCCTGGTGAACTTGAGATAAATGATACCACAGAGTCTGACACATCTGTTTCATATTTGGATATTTTACTTGAAAAGGACGTTAATGGTAATCTAACAACCAAGCTTTATGATAAACGTGATGACTTTAACTTTTCAATCGTCAACTTCCCTAACTTATGCAGCAATATACATGTACCTTCATCACCTGCATACGGGGTTTATATCTCTCAGTTGGTTCGATACGCAAGAGCATGCTCTATGTATGTACAATTTCTAAAATGAGGTAAATTATTGACAAACATGTTGATGAAACAGGAATATCAGCAGTCTAGTTTAAAGTCATCATTTCGTAAGTTCTCTGGTCGATACAATGACCTTGTTACAAAAAATGTAGCAAATACAATTTATTGTATATACGAGGTATTTGGCTCCAGTTTTCGGCATCTTTTTAAGCTCTTCCAAGTCTTTTTTATTTAAATAATTTGGATTTCCCACGCTGCAGCTTGAGCATCACTAAAGAGACATTTTTTGTCGAAATGCGCATCTGATGCATCAAAATTGGTACCGTATATGATTTACATCACTGAGTCAAATGCCGACTGACGTTTTTCATACTAATTGTTAGACCATTATTTACACACTGAATTGTCGGCGGATTTTTCCGTTATTTCCCAATCATGACAAGGAGCACACGGCGGGTGTGACCGGTCTGCAGGGGATGCTCACTCCTCCATGGTACCTGATCCCACTTTGATGTTTTGGAGGTCCGTGTTTGCTCTGCTCCTATTTTGTATTGTTTTTTTTGTTGTTTTTTTTTTGTGGGGGGGGTTGGGGGTTGATTACTGTTCGGTATCTCTATATATTTCATTGGTAAAATTGCTTAGCACATTATTTTGTCAAAGATTTTCTTAAGTTATATTGGAGCTTCCACTTCAACACGCCATGAACAGTCTATAATAATGTCTTTAGTGACCATTAATAATCTCAACAGTATTCCAAAACGATTTTAATTTAAGGGAAAATAATAAAGCGGTCAAAAACGATATCCAAAAGTTTTTTTTTTAATTCAAGAGAAAATACATGCATAAAATACTGAAAAATAAATATATATTGTTGTACTTCTTGATTAGATATACGGAAAAGATATACTTGCCCTTGAATATCAGTTGACTACTCTTGATTATTCCAAGACATAGAAATTCAGTAAAGTTATACGAAAAATTTCCCCTTTCGTCAGGGAGACTGGCACTATGTTCAGCACACGATTCCCAAGCCTTCATCCATTCAGTCGAACTAGTATCACGATACTTCTCGACAACGTTTATTTTATTATCTGTCTTGTTTCTAATACCTGTTCATGATGATAATTAGATTAATTATTTTTCATTTTATACCATAAAACATAGACTTTATATCTTTAAGAAATGAACAACATTTAAGGACCATGCAAAATATTTATCTCTGAGGGAAGCACATGATAGGTTAAAGGAAGCATTTTGTTTCGAGATTTCAGAAGAAACTGATATTTTAAGAAAAATACTAGAATAAGTTGACTCAAATATTATAAACCTAATTTATGCGCATGATGATTGAACTGAAACTAATGTTCTTCATTGACCTAGACCATAGCAAATTCTCCAAGAAACACACCACATCATTAAAATTACATGAGAAATACTATGAGACGTCAGTATTCCTACATAATCTTCTTTTAACAGATTTAACTTACTTTGTAGACACAAAGTTGAGCACGTTGACGTGTTTTGGCAAGCTATCCTTTGATAAGGCAGTTCAACATCAGGTAGATACAAAGCATTGCATTGTTCTTCATGGGATGGTTTAAACCCCGAAAAATTTTTGTAAGTCACTAAAATTTATAAAATGTAAATGATATGCACTCTCTCTTATTTGTCACTTCTTTTTCACGGTTTATACGTTATTAAAAATCATACAGGCATTAATTTAATGATAATAAATATATAACCATCTATGACTTTGTAGAGTGATATTGCCTCTGTTCCACCACACGAAGTCTCAATCACATCAGTACATCGCCAATTACACAGCGATTCTGGAAGCTGTTTTTTCTCAAATTCCTTTATATTCTCTGGTATTACGTAACAGGAAGTGTTCTGCAGTATAAAGAGAACCATAGTAATAATTTAACCATTTTTACATAAATGAATAAGTAATCCTGGCAAAATGACATGATTTTCTAGAGATGCTTTCAATAAAGAAAGAGCATTCAATTAAAGGAAATCAGCGATTTGAATTAAACTAAAATTAATACATTTTTTGGAGAAGTGAAAAATAAATCACTGTTAGAAAGAAGTTAACTAAATATTGTCTAGAAATTGTAGCATAATAGATTTTTTTCGGATAAATTTAAATCAGAACAAATTAGATTGAAATCTTTTGCATTAAAAAAGTCTTAGATGAAACCTTTAGTAAATTAGAAATGGTTTTTTTGTTGCCTACGATTCATTTCGGTACAACGTGGTAGAAATATTGCTAAAAATAATCTTTTGCATAAATTTCAAACGGCCTCTGATAATTCGTTAATTTTTAATTTTTAGTGATGAGTATTCTTTTAAAATCAGTATTGTAACACCATTATTCAGAGAAATAAACCACTAATTGAAACAAAGCATGACACGCAGCATTGTTTACAGGGTTCTCCATCGAACATTTAACGTGGCGGCCCCGCCACAGTTAAATTCCTTAGCGCCACAGTTAAAAAATCGTCGTCATAGTTCCGCCACAGTTAAAATATTAGCGCCACAGTAAGATCGTCGTCGTCAGTAAGATAAATATATAAATTAATAAACCAAAGGAACGTCTAAATTATGTACCGTTTTTCCAGTTTCTAATGCTAAACCGTTAATTTACCCTAATTAGGGTCTATTGTTTGGCTTGCACAAGCAATTATCTTCTAGACCTCGCTAGAGATTTAAATAAAAAGAGACAAGCCATTTTTTCTACACTTCATGATAATTGCTACTGAAAATTTTATATTAATTTTATTACTTCACTTTAAAAGTACTTAAGATAACAACGTCTCTAAAATTGCATTGGCACTGGAGTCAAACATTGCATGTGTATCGTAATCATGTATTTTGTAACATTTGTTGAAAAATTCACGATAGATCCACCAAAATATTATTGTATGATAGTATGCCTCTAAACTGCTTTTAAAATATTTTTTTTAATTCACAAGTTTTACCATATTTCAGTTTTCAGACCGATAATTGCAAATATATATAGATGTAAGCGTGATTGTGTGACTTACCAGAATTTCACCTGTCCTTTAATGAAAATTTTATTTATCTTTTGCAAACAACATTATTATTTATAAATAAGGGTTTAATGCTTAAAACTTGTTGTTACTAGTACTTTAATTTTCAGATTCTATAAGCTAATGTTTGTTTATTTACAAGTACGTATGTGTTGGGGGTTGTCTTTTTCACAGTATGCATATATTTTGGAAACATCCTTTCTTTCTTTTTTTTTTTTACACTACATGCATGTTTAATCGATATCGATTAATTACTTTTATTATTAAGTTTAATAATCAAGTTGCCAAATAATAAATTTTGTATTAAACCATTGATTCATTGGGTTGTATGTTTTTCAATTTATTTCGTGGTTCCTCTGCGAATTCGGTCGCGAAATGACCGCGAATATTAGCACTTTGCGTAAATCTTGAGTCACAGTTAAAATTGAAATGACGGAGAACCCTGGTTAAGGCGTACTTCGAAGAAATCAACGGAATATGAACGTGCATAAATGCATACCTTTTTAAACTGAATTTATTTTTGTAAAGGTACTATATTATCACATGTCTTTATCATTATTTGAAATAACATTGTATACCCCGCTTTGTACTGAATTTGGAATAGTTACGTTATTTGACAGTCACGTGATAAATGCATGTAATGTGTACTGTATGTAGGTCACAAACAAATTTCAATATCGCAAGGGCATACCCTAGATAAAATTAAAAATTTAAGTAATAAATTGTTTCTACGTAACTTGTAGTTTATGAAAAGTGCTGCTGCTTTAAATACAATTGACATTTTATTAGTTTAAATTCCAAGTTATCTGGCTTTAGTCGAAATATGTGTGACCTTTACCAAGTATTTTATGTATTTATTAATTTTCGTTTTCGATTTCAGGAAAGAGCAGCACTTTTCAAGTTTAGGAATTTGTCCGTTATGTATATTCAAAAAATGGTCAAGAACTATTTATTGTATGCCCTTGCGAAAAGGCGATTTAATGAGGCTATTCGGCGTGAAACATGCAAACCCTGTAGACAAAACTACGGTAGAATTAATTCAATACATTCTCTCGATAGTTTTTAAATAATGGCACTAAACAAAGGTTTCAGATCTGTATTAGTGGTGCACCTAAGATTGGCAAATAATATTCTGTTTAATAATAAAATGCATTTTTCACTGTGAAATAATTACTTGATCCGCCTCTCACTGCACATAAAATGGGTCAGATTTTACCATGATGACGTCATGTCGAAAAGTGCATTGCCATCAGTTACTTGTTAGCTCACCTGAGCTGAAGGCTCAAGTGAGCTTTTCTGATCAAAATTTGTCCGTTGTCTGTCGTCGGCGTTGGCGTCGTCGGCGTCGTTGTTGTCGTAAACTTTTCACATTTTCATCTTCTTCTCCAGAACTACTGAGCCAATTTCAATCAAACTTGGCACAAAGTATCCTTGGGTGAAGGGGTTTCAAGTTTGTTCAAATGAAGGGCCACGCCCTCCTCCAAGGGGAGATAATTACGAAATAGCAAAAAATTAATGGCATTATTGAAAAATCTTCTTCTCAAGAACCAGTGGGCCAGGAAAGATGAAACTCATGTGGAATTATTGTCAGGTAGTGTAGATTCAAGTTTGTTCAAATCATGACCCCAGGGGATAGGGTGGGGCCACAATGGACGATCAAAGTTTTACATAGGAACATATAGGAAAAATCTTTAAAAATCTTCTTCTCAAGAACAGCAAAGCTATGATTGGTCATATTTATTTGAAAGCATCCTCAGGTGGTGTAGATTCAAGTTTGTACAAATCATGACCCCCGGGGGTAGGGTGGGGCCACATTGGACGATCAAAGTTTTACATAGGAATATATAGGAAAAATCTTCAAAAATCTTCTTCTCAAGAACAGAAAAGCTATGATTGGTCATATTTATTTGGAAGCATCCTCAGGTGGTGTAGATTCAAGTTTATACAAATCATGACCCACGGGGGTAGGGTGGGGCCACATTGGACGATCAAAGTTTTACATAGGAATATATAGGAAAAATCTTCAAAAATCTTCTTCTCAAGAACAGAAAAGCTATGATTAGTCATATTTATGTGGAAGCATCCTTAGGTGGTGTAGATTCAAGTTTGTTCAAATCATGACCCCCAGGGGTAGGGTGGGGCCACATTGGACGATCAATGTTTAACATAGGTGTACATAGGAAAAATCTTCAAAAATCTTCTTCTCAAGAACAGCAAAGCTATGATTGGTCATATTTATGTGGAAGCATCCTCAGGTGGTGTAGATTCAAGTTTGTTCAAATTATGACCCCTGGGGGTAGGGTGGGGCCACAATGGACGATCAAAGTTTTACATAGGAATATATAGGAAAAATCTTTAAAAATTTCAAGAACAGCAAAGCCACGGTTTGTCATATTTATACGGAAGCATCCTCAGATAGTGTAGATTCAAGTTTGTTCAAATCATGACGACCACCCCCCCCCCCCCCCCCCACTCCATTTTTAGGGTAGGTTGGGACCACTTATGCATTTAAGCTTTTCAATACTAAACTGATTTTTCCTTTTTTCCTAGCCACAGTGCTCAGGTGAGCGATGTGGCCCTTGGGCCTCTTGTTTATATCTTACTGTGTGGGATTTAACTATCGACAAAAATGAATGCAGTGGTAAGTTTTGATGTAGTTCATCTCTCTTATGCAGTTTGGAATCGCAAATTATTTCATTTTCTGTTATTGTGAGGAATTGCTATATTTGTGTGATGTCACGGTAAACTTTTCCCGTATAAATTAGGCCCCGCCTCCTTTATGCAGCCTTAACTGAGCTGCGCATCTCTATGTTCTATCAATAACAGGAATTGCCCTAGATGTTTAATACTGCCTTTATCGTAGTTTTCCTTAGCAATATTCATATTTCTGCCCTATTTCGAATATCTTATAAGAAATGAAAATATGAAATTAAAACATTAACGAGATCAAACATTATGCACGTACATGTATTCCAATATATGAACTCATCATGTTGTCCGGTGAATCAAATACAAGATTACAGTCGTGGTGCAGTTCACCATTGTGTGTCAGATTTATATGATGACAGCCTGTAAATAAGTTAAACAGGACTTCAATATATACTGCATTAAGAAAATTATAAAGGTCAGGCTGATAATAACCTTGGAAATTATCAGTATCTTCTAAAGTTGGATTATTTTTTTTTTCAATTTTTGGAATCTGAACATCCGTTTCCTTTTATTACGATAACCTAATTTTTGTTTTAAGGGAGCCGACTGGGGTTTTATTGTGTGAAAACTACTATAGAGAAATCCTTTAATTTTATACCATATGTACCTTACATTGACTTCAGTATACATGCAATCTTTAGTGACAATCTACCAGCTGATTATTTTAGGGACCATCTCAAAATACAGCTACATTTACTATAGGATTATAAAGGAAAATACCAATTTTTCGCACTTCGTAGCAAATTATACCAATGCTACTATAGACGTTTTGCTCAAAATATATTATTTGATGGTTAATATAATATTGTACATTTCGTGCAAAAAACACAAAATTCTATCGTCTGGTTTTCAGAGGGGGCATCTCAAAATGTCAAAATTCATATTTCCCTATTTTTATGGAGTACAACAAAACATGACAGATACCACATATTTACATTAAAAATAATAAAAATGATTGCAAGATTCTCAATTTCCTATGTAAAAATTTCAAGAGCATCTATTTTATATTTTTTAGTTTGTGACATAATTAATGACCCGATTAAACAATCAATTACATATGCATAAAATTTCCTTTTTTCCAAATGTTTCTTCATTTTCTGAGTTTTATGTATCTCTTACTGTGTATTGTGCATATATACATATATGGTTTATACAGATGTTGGTGACATTATTAACAATTTATTCCTTATTGAATATGGTAGTATAAACAGTTGAATTGTGATGGAAGAGTAATACGCCCTGTGTACTAAACAATGTTAATTAACGTATCATTTTAGATTGATATTATTTATCAGTTGATTAAGTGTATTGTCATATTATCTTGGAACTGTCTGTGTATATTATATAATATTATACAAATGAATATATATTTAATTAAAAAAAAATGACCCGCTAAAAGAACTTCGATTATTCCTAGCGTCAAAAACACACTATTAAGACGTTTATCTACCCATCATTTGAATAATCGTTTAAAAAAATAGTTATTTAAAAACGTAATTAGATTTTTTTAGGTTTCCTAAATTTGTTAATATTTCTAAATTATGTAAAAATAGTTGCTTTAAAAGAGTAAATATGCTTTATTTTACTATGCTGCGCGAAGTATTGCGCAATGAAAACCCCAGTCGACCCCTTAAGAAAGAGTGACGATTTTTTTTTCAGAGTATCCATCAGATATAAAAAAAAAAAAAAAAAGAATCCTAAAATATATATTAAACTTCATCAAAGAAGTAAATCTTCAGCGGATCACTCAAAATACAAGAGTATTTGTCCAAAGAAAAAAATAAAGGAAAATGGAATAAATTCCAACGTTATATTAAATGTGAGCAGAAGAGAAAACTATTTTTTCTTCATAAAATGATATAATTACAACTGAGCCTGCAAATAATCTTTGAGGTAGAGTTACAACTATACTGCCCTTGCTTCCTGTCTCCATTATTTCTTTCTTATGGAAAAGATGGAGATAACAACAGTGATCGATCTAAAAGAAATCTAGAAAAAATACATGTCCGTGAACAGGGCATAAAACACTGTCCCTGAAAATTCCAGAGGTCAGGCGTCTAGAAGGAGTAAGCATTCCTTGTTGACCGGTCACTCCCGCCATGACCCGTGTGTAATATCAGGTAGGCGGAATATTCCGTAGTCAAATTTAATATAAAAACAAAGGCCTAACAATTGGTATGAAACAAGTCAGCTTAAATACGTCCAAATGATGGGTTATTTTTGTTAACAAGGTCATTATAACGACCATAGAATACACAGAATGCTGAATTTAAACAAGGTTTATGGTCATTTTAATCACATGGTTTTTATTTTTGTAGGGGTGAAGAAGTAAGTGTTAAAGAGCGAAAAAAAAATGCCTACCTCTGATTGAAAGCCATTGCCGATGTTTTATAACGACATATTTGTCTTCAACAGTTAACGTCCATACCGTTTCATTAGACTGCATGATAGAACTAAGTTCATGTTCCGTTGCCTTATTATCTAGGGTCTTGAAACCATAGAAAGAACACCTCTTATCTGCCTCTTCTCTCGGTACTGCGTAGTCAATGAACACAAGAGAAGAGCTGGCAGTTTCATCTGTAAAAATATCAATCAACAAAACTAGATTTATCAATGAACTTATGAGGAAAAATAGAATTTTTTTTTCCGTCACTTAACTTTGACCTGTAAAAATTCAATTAATACAAGGGAAGTCCTTGATATTTGGTTGTTTCATATGCAAAAAAAAAATTAATAAAGGCAAAACTATATCAAAGTTTTTTTTTTTTCTTTTTTAAGATAAAAAATGCATTTTACTTGTAATAAATCAAATACCAGGGAAAAAAACTCGCAGGTTGATTGTTAATCTTTTGTACAAAGGAAATGAAGACATTTTTACGTTGAATATTTTTTTTCAATTAATTTCCCGGCAGAGTTCAAAAGAGAGGTCGAAGATTTGACAGTTAGATATCTTAAATGTAAATTGACACAAAAAATCAACATGTTGAATTCTTTTCTCTAAGACTGCGATAAAAACAGAAGATGTCTCTAGAAATTCAATCCTTCGATTGTTGTGTCATTTGTTTGTTTTTTTTTACTTCTGCCGTGAATTATGAAGATTACGATCAGTTATCAATTTTGATACACACTGGAACAGAGCAAACGTGGAAATCAGAAAAAATAAGAAGTGGAATAAGGTGCTATGGAGGAGTAAACATTCTCTGTCCCAAATACGAAATATAAGGCTTACACTTATCTGAATTATTCAATGATTAAGCTTAACTCTCACCTGTTAGGTTAAGGGTTCTTCTAACCACCTCAGACCCCATGGAAACCACGCATGTGTAAATTCCTTTGTCTCTTTCAGTTACCTCTACAATTAAAGTGTATTTTTGGATGTGATTACTAGACACTGTCATTGTAATTAAGGAAGTCTGCTCCTTAGCCAGTAACAATAACTCTTAAAATGATTAATTAATTGCATAAGTCTCAAAATTAAGCCTGAATTTTTTTTTTTTTTTTTTTTTTTTTTTTTTTTTTTTTTTTTTTTTTTTTTGCAACAATCTTTATTTCATGCAATTTTTTTATATGATTTAATGCTCTTTGAAGTATTAGAAAGGATCTTGTAATAAATAGTCTTTTGCACTCCATAAAAGTACCAAAAATGTATACGCAGGTGAGTTAAGGCTAAATATAGGTTTCTATGCAAATAATCTAATTAAAATGCCTGAGGACTACATCTATTATACAGAGAAAGTTAAAACTTATTGTCTAATAAATACTTGATACCCACGACATGAGATAGCCAGTACACATTATGACGTCATTGTCCTTTACTACACAAGATTATAAAGGAGATCAACAAAAATGCTTCGGCGCAAGGGCATGCTCTATTCTATTTAACTGAAACAAGGTATATTTAGAAGCAAAATATTCTAAATTTTGCTGGTATTGCAGCTCAGTCGTATAATTTCCATTAGTAAAGTTTTAAATTGAATAAGGGTAAAAATGTACAGTCCAGTATAAGTTTCCTCAAATTCCGATCAAATGAGAAAATGCCTGGGATTTGTGCAGCAGTTTTATTAATCTATAGACTATTCTTCTTAGAATTATAGAATTTTTCTGTAAAAAAAAAAAGTAGGATAATCCCTTGCGCCGAAGCTGTTTTGTTGGTGTGTTTTATTACCTCTAGTAGACAAGATCAGTGACGTCATAATATGACGTCATAATGTGTACTGGCTGTAACATATCATATGGGTACTAAGTATGCATAAGAAAATAAATCAAAACTTTCTCTGAATAATAAATATACCTCTTATGCGTTTTTATTAGATCATTTGCATAGAAACGCCTATACCTAGCCTTAACTCACATGCGTATCTTTAGAGAAATCGAGATTCCTTTAATCTTGCCTTAGATACCAATGTTTATTAGCATGAAATAAAATTTTAAGTGATTTGAGATATTTGCAATGATATCACAGGCTTTTTATACTATGTTTTATATAAGAATTAGTTATTAAAAGAACTTAGATACTACATAATTATAAAAACATGCAATTTTTTTCTGAATGCTTAGATACCTATATTTTTTTCATCCTAAATTATACCTGCTGATTAATTTTCAATTAGAAAATGCATAACTGGGGCTTTTATTTACGTTTCCAGAAAATATATATATTACTTCTTCCTATATAATAAAATGAACTATAATGATGAGCAATGAAGACATAACATGGGTTTATACAAATCACTATGTGAATTCAGTGATATTTTGCTGAGCATTTTCAGTTCTTTAAATGCTGATTTTCAGAACCACCTGAGGAACGGACTATCTGTGAATTTAGGAATAACGAATAGTAATCATGATCAAAGTCCAATCAAACAACACGTGGGTCATTCAAAAAGTTCGTAGACTTTTGTCGTAAGATTGTTATTTTACGTAACCAAAAAGAGCGATATTATCTACGTGTTGAATGTTTTGAATGACCCTCGTACTAATTGTGAGCAGAGCAAACACGGACCTCTGAAAACAGAGGCGAGATCAGGTGCCATGGAGGAGTGAGCAGTTCCTGTCGACCGGTCAGATTTGTTTTTAATTTCGGAGCTTAATTTATAACTTTCCTATGTATCGTTCTTGACTCAAGTGTGATATCAGTGTTTATCTTATCACTTTGATGATTCAGTGTGACTACACATCGCTATGTCTAATTCAGTATTACTGAAGTTGCATACACTATAAATGAAATATGAAGATAACGAACAGTTTTCAATCTCGAAAGACCAATGAAACAATACAAATTTGGAGCAGAGCAAACACGGACCTCAAAATTTAGAGGTGGGATCAGATGCCATGGAGGAATGTGCATCCCCTGCCGACCGGTCACACCCGCCGTGTGCTCATTGCCATGATAAACAAATAAGAAAGGACCTTCATTGCATAAAACTTGAAAAATATATTTAATCATCTGTAATATTTTCAACACCGCATTAAAAAACATACATTGCCAGTCTTCATCTTCTAACTTACCATTAATAACAATGGTAAGATTTATGGCATTCTGCAAAGTATTATCGACAGACGTTATATTCCATTCATCTGGTTGTATTTCGTATTTTGGTTGATAAAATCTTTTTGGAAATTGGCCAAGAATTACAACCCTGTTATTGGTTTGAAATATCCAATCGATGGAAGCATTTGAGGAATCAAAGAAGTGTAGAGCAGGTATTCCATACACAATGCATCTAATGATAAAGCTTTCTCCCTCTGTTATTTTTGTTATATTAGTTACCACTTCAACTGAAATGAGAAAAACAAACTAGAAACATATATATAAAAACTACAATTATACATTCGACTACTTGACTTTCCATATTTTTTGAAATGAATACAATTACAAATGTATTTAAATGTACAAAATGAAAGATTTGTAATGATGATAAAGGACAATGAAAAAAGGGGAAAGTAAAGAAAAAAGAAATCCGTAAGAGATATTTTTTTTTTATGTCACTGCTTCAACTTAAAAAGAAGAAATGTTTGTATTATATACAAACAAAAAGCGGATCGTTATGTCATCGTTCTTGCAAGATTGTAATACAGTAAAACACGCTTATAGCGAAGAGCCTGGGATGTGCAATTTCAATTCGTTATAAACGTAATTCGTTATAACCGTTAATATTACAATACGTTTTAAAGCCACCGGGACTGAAAATCACTTCGCAGTAAGCGTGAATTAATTATAAGCGTGTTCGCTATAACTGTGTTTTACTCTAGAATGATGAATATCTTTATGGTGTAGGGATTGAAATTCATACTGGAAAATGTTATGCAACATAAGGATACAGTGATATCTCATGCAATACAGTGCTTAGTACATTCTCAAGCACCTTTAAATAAGTAGGTGTCTGACCGATCATGACAAGGAGCACATGATGGGTGTGTACGGTCGACAGGGGATGTTCACTCCTCCATATTTCATATGTTAGATACTTGAAATAAACAACATAAAAGATGTATAATTTTTGTAGAGGAGAAGAAAAAGTATGAAGACAGATGACACAAGCACGGGTTAAACATTAATGTATAAATTCCTTACTCTTTCTGCTAATAAAAATCATTCCATCTTTTAGACCAAGGCGTCAAAAAGTCACAGAATAACATATACATAATTTATATCAAAAAAATCCATTTAGCAATTTAAATAACGATACCAAGGGCTTACCATTAAAATTACCCGCTGGTGTGACGATAGGTAGCAAAGCAGACAATACAAATAGACACGGTATTATTTTACAACACACTTTCTTCACCCTGAAGCTTCTTATACGTTTCATTGTTCACTTTGAAGTACGGCAGATTCCTTTACATGGAAAATACAGCGGACGTTTGAAAAAAAGAATATGCTTCTTGTTCCTGTATCGGAGATTTGTATCTCCCATGGTAAATGCAGATTTCTTATTTCCTGTTTCCTTTCCTATTTGAATCTTCCTTGTTGTTTAGATTTATTCTAAGCTTCTTTATATGTAGAGATGTTCGATGTTTTGCGTCATGCAGGAGACAACTACATCCTGTTTGTATTGCTCTATCATTACATCATTACAAAGACAATAGATTCATTGCTGCAAATATATTAATGAAAAAAGTGAATTCATGAAAACTGCGCGATATCAATGATTACAAGGATTAAAAAAATTATACCTGGATTTTAAAATATCTTATTATTTTCACTTTTTAAAGTACATAAAATGTTTTACAGTATTTAGACATACATGAGAATAATTTGTACTTAACAAGTAGGTCATTTGAGTGGTTTTTATAGGGATGTATATAATTAACATTGAAGGGTTATTTTCCTACATCAATGTCTACCATCAGCCTTACATTGTTTAGCGTAATATTGAGGACACTGTTGTAGTACACTGAAATACACTGTTTTTATTCAGATAATTCTATAAGTACATATACATTCAGAGGATAAGCTTCAAGGTTTTTATTGTTCACAGGATCCTCAAACATAAATCTTCTTCCTGGGCGTGCGAATCAAACATGTGAAAAGAAATTTAGCTTATACATCTGCAAGAACGTCTCCTATAAAAGCAACCTATGGATTTTCTCGTCTTATGGTAGATTATATATCAAAATTAGAAAATCTGACATCTTATGTTAGTAACACATTTTAAGCAATTTGCAAATGATCCAAAACGCTCACCTTAGTAATATAGGCGCTGTTATTCCCCTGTTTAATTGTTGTCCTCTATAGAGACTACACCTTTGTCCTAGGACAATTGACTTTATCAAACTTGATTAAACAATAAATAGAGATGGTCGGGCATCAAAATGACTAAATGTTGAATTATTCATCAATTTCTTTTACGTTTCTATGAAACACTTTCCTAAAGAAAAAGTAACCCTAATTGTGGTTATACACTATCCTTGGGATCAATGTTTTGACCATACTTAAATATTCATTACATGGGGATTGTCCGGCAGGTTTTTCAAGACATTGGGGATGTTTATTATTCATATGACTATTTGTCACCCTTCAATTCTTCAGATGATTAAAATAAAAACCGTTAATATTCTCAAATAAATAAACCTGCGTCATTGGTTTACTGTATGATAATTGTACAAACACTGGTTTCGATGTTTATTTAAAGCTTTAATTTATTTTTAAACAGCTTTCATGATATATAGTTCATTAATGCATGAAATAAACACCCCGAAGTAAGACATTCGTAAAACATGTAATAATCTCTGCTGGAAAGAAGGAAAAATTAATCTGCAACACAAATCACCATAAATGACAAAATTCTACACAAGAGTTTGCAATGACTTACAAATCAACAGTTTTTTTTTTTTTTTTTTTTTTTTTTTTTTTTTTTTTTTTTTGCATTGTTCTGACACAATTCTATAGCCATCATCTCTAATCTGTTTTTCACTATAGAGAGGTATTTCCAAACTGAATGATTTTTTTTACTATAGAAAGGTATTTCCAAACTGAATGATTTTTTTTTTCACAGTAGAGAGGTATTTACAAACTGAATGGTTTTTTGAGTTAGAATGAAAATGAATTTGTTTTTGTGCGTAGGATCACAACATACACAGTTTTTCTAGATCTGTGTAAAAAATTTGAATTTGAGCAAAAGAAATAAGCGTGTCCATCTTTATGATATATCTTTATATCCTCAATAATATATTAGAGAGGTTGAGATTTTAAACTTGTACGCGTACGTGTACGTGTGCACAAACTTTGACGTACACGTACACGTTTTTTGTAATTTGTCTGTTGAGATTTTAATGACGTGTGACGTGAACGTGTAGACTGTAATCGGTGTCTCTGTTTCAAGTATTTAGTAGTTTTGTGACATTAGTCTGACTTTAGTAAGTGAACAAAACATGGTTAAAACAAGTTTTCATGAAACTTAACATCCTAAATAATGAACAACAATAACAGTTTCACACATAAATTGACTAGTTTTTATTGAAAAAGCTACAAGTTTACGCTTACGTGTAGATGCCTTTTTACAAGTTGTAGGAACGTGTAGAAAACTTATCAACACCAAAACTGATGACGTAATACGCAAGAAATTTAGGGAATTCCCCTACTAGACGTACCCGTACACGTACACGTCAGAAATCTCAACCTCTCTATTATCTCTTTATACAAAAATCTCAAAAAGCATAACAAAAGTGCATGCCTTTCGCACAATAACGGAATATGAAACAAACTCTTAAAGACTGATTATATAAACAGTGTGATGACAACAAACATTGCGTTCTATTTACGTAAATATCATTCATTTATACATTCAGCAATCATCAATTAGAGCGAGAAACACAATCAAAATTTTTTACATCTGATAATAAGTACATAATGTTTTCTAATATACATATGTTTAAGTAAGATAAAAGCAAACAAAATGCTTTTTTCGAAAATCTGTCATTCAGTACAAAATGAAATAAATATGTATTCTAGATCTAGAGACAGCAAGTAAGTTAAAACATTGACCAGAATTTGGCACATTATAAAATCATCAGTTACAAAACATATACAACTGCTAATGTAGACAAAATAATTTATAGTCAAACACGTTTATAGCGAATTACCAGAAACGGTTGCATCCGATTCATAATCTCTTTTTTTTTGTTATCCAATTAACGTACTCATAAATTTGTAGTGCTGTGTGAAAAAAAATATTTTAACAGGATTGTCCATGACCGCTCAATGCCAATGTGCGCTATAAACTTGTTTCACTGTACACTGTACATGTCTGGACTTTTTTACTGTACATTTCTGGACATTTTGACTGTATATTTGTCTAGACTTTCCTCAGTTCCATATTTCGCCTGTTATTCCCCACTGCTCCCCTCCCGTCATCTCTTCCTTTGTTATTACCTCCTATGTAGTATGGACCTGGATTTTTCACCGGCCCCCTTTCCTTTTTATTCTAAATATGAAAGCTATTATCTTTATTAAAGCTCATTTTATGATCAAACAAATGTATGTAATTTTTTCACCATCATAAACTTTTCATTACTAGTGTTATTATTTTTCTTATGAAGAGACATTTTTGTTTGTCAGCAAATACAATCCATCATTAAATCAAATGCTGACTTCGCATTGAATTTTCTAGGGATTTTTCAGGGTTTTTTTCCAGATCATGACAAGGAGCACACGGTGGGTGTGACCGATCGGCAGGGGATGCTTACTCCTCCATGGCACCCGATCCCACCTCTGATGTTTTAGAGGTCCATGTTTACTCTGCTCCTGATTTGTATTGTTTTTATGAACTATTGAGTTTGAATACTGTTTGTTATCTCCATATTTCATTTTCTGAATCTATGTAGCTTTTTTTAAAACAGATTTGTATTGCAACTGATTTTTTGAATTTTCTCTGTTGATTTTATACGTTAAGATTACACATAAATGTTAAGATACCAACCTTTTTCCTGAATTTCTTTAGCTTTGGGTCTTCGCTCGGTGTGTTAACAGAGCAAACTTTGATGAAGACGCCCATCACAATCACAACCGCGACTACAATTAGCATTACACCCCACCAATGTTCCTGTAAAAATAAAGAGAATCACGACTCCGACTACAATAAGCATCACACATCACCAGTGTTCCTGTAAAAATAAACAAAATCACGACCCCGACTACAGTTAGCATCACACCCACCACTGCTAACCCTAACCCTAACACTGACGCCCCCGACTACAATAAGCATCAAACCCCAACAATGTTCCTGTAAAAAATTAACAGAACACAGTAAGCATCACACCCCACCAATGCTCCGGTAAAAACAAACAGACTGTGTAGATATGCCAGATGGAGACACTGTTCTTCCTGTAAAAATAAAAACAAGTTCTTTGGAAAATACTACTGTTTTTGCTTCAATATATAGTTTAGTATCAAAAATACGAGGGTTGTTCGGAAAGTTCGCGGACTTCTGTCATATGTTTTTTACGTAACGTCATATTATATCAAGATTTGGTAGAAGTGTTTTTACATTAAATTCAAATGATTTTTATTATAAATTTTAGAGATATTATAATTTATTTCCAACTTATTCAGAGTTAAAAACTGTAAAAATCGGGTCGCGGAGCTGGTCAAAACTTTGTAATTTACAAACAATACCCTAAATAATGTCTGTAGTCATATCCTCTAAAAATGACACAAAAACGCAAAAACTTCTAGACGAAAGAATAAAAAAAATGTTACATCGTTTCATATTTCAAATTATGAATTAATAGATTGCTTCGTGGAAAAGAAATCAATTTCAGAAGATAGGTAGTCCTCGGTGAAGAAGGCAAAAAAGTGACGTAGAACGTCACGGAGCAGCAGTTTACGATACAATTTCGTGTTGTAATCTGGAAAACTCCAGAATAAACTCTGAAAATGCTGGAGGAAGGGAAATATATCAAAAGCCTGTCGTGCATATGTGTGTAAATGGCTCAGGGGGCATTTGAATGATACAGACTCTGTATGAGACGAGGACAATTTGTGAGGAAATGGATTATCTGTAAAAATCTTTCCAAATACTTTAAGTTGGTTAGGTCATAGAAAGAGAAAGGCACTTCACAGTTGCTGATTTTGTGAAAGCACATTTACGCGCTAAAAAAAATAAAACATTGATAAACAAAATTATGCTACTGGAAGGATTGTTAGCAAAATAAATTTCAATTGATAGAGAAACGTTTTTAGTAAGTGGATATTGGGCTAGACTATGTGAAATGTATAGGGAGATTATTTTGAGAACCTCATGATGCAATGTTTTTAACGTTATTATGTTGCTCCGGGGTTACCAAACATGTTGATTTTAAAATTAAGTAAATTAATTTCTATTGAATCGAATGGAATGAAACTTCATACACCAACAAAATGACATATGATAATGTGCTCATTTTTAATTTCTTGGAAATAGTATAACGAAGATTGAAACGGTCCGTGAACTTTCCGAACAACCCTCGTAAAGTGTTCACAAATTATGACAAAAACAGGAATATAAAAAAAATGCAGAAGGGAGTGGGGGTTAAGATTTATATTTATTCCAAGTTTACAAGTGTATGATGGGATAATTGGGCCTCATAAGAACTCTGCAAAACAATATATTTTCACAATAACTATTACAAAGAAAGCGTTAAAAATCTCTTGTTTCAATTTATTGACTTTTCTTGAACTTCAGTGCTTCACATATAAGCATGTCTTATTTTTGCAAATACTAAATACATTTACATTTTCGTAGAAATTTGTAAATTTTGTAAACATTCTTGGTAAAATTAAGTTTGGGATAAATCTATAGAGAACAGTCAAGCCAAAGAATTCTAACACATATTAGCTTAATTGCAAAATGAATAAATCGATAGATAAAAAAATAAAATAAATAACTGTTGAAAAATAAGAAAGTTTTAAGTCATATCTATCTGAACCACGTACACATTATCTACTTAATTCACGGAACAATGGCATATCGCCAACATATTCAAAGTTTTTAATGCGCGTTTAATGGGGTTTGAAGAATACTCGAATTTAATCCGTTTTCCAAACTTTATTACATGTAACAGGCATAACAGCTTACATCATCATATGCTTCCACACCGACCTCCTGACTGCACGCACTACCCATGCTAATACGCACTGACACATGAACAACACTAAGAAATATAACTCTTGCACACAAACTCTTACATACAATACACATTCAGAGTTACTTCCCTTAGATAATATCAATCCACTACAATACCCCCTTTTCTAGAATAAACTTTTACAATTCTCAAAAATAAAATGAATTACTGGAAAGAAATTACTGTCCAAAATATTGATAGAAAACATTTACAATATACAGTCTCAGATATAGAAAACTTACAATCAATCACATTCACACGGAAATAAGTTTCACATTTCAAACTCCTCAAAACTTTGCGGTAATTTCCTAATATGGGTCGACCTTCTCAGTTTCGGAGTTACTGGAGCAGAAGACGGAACATCATCACTGTTATCTGTAGTCTCAACACTCGGTTCACTAGGAGTCTCTGGAATATCAGATGCACTTTCGGTTCCTGATATTTTTTAACAAATTCACTATTTCGCTTCACTAAAACTCCCTCCGACGATTTTACGACACAACTGTTTCCCGTTTTCTGTACAAGTTTATACGGCTCGGCATGATACGGCGTATCCATTTTATCCTTGACTGCTTTCTTCAATAGGACCGAATCTCCTAGCTCTAAATCACAATCCACTGCACCACGTTTCTTGTCGATATAAAGCTTGTTTTCGTATTTGGAATACACATCCTTATCACGCACTCCCTCATCATAGACATTTTCTTGTAGATTTTCTACTTGTGGTAGCTTTGTTCTCAGTTTACGACGGAACATCAATTCTGCAGGTGGTACTCCTGTTGTATTATGAGGAGTCGTTCTGTATGCAAATAGATATTTGCGGACTTCTGAATTCCAATTCTTAGACTCTGCTTGTGCTATCCGAATTCTTTTCATCAATGATCTGTTTTGTCTCTCTACCTCCCCGTTTGCTGATGGATGTAATGGTGTAACTGCTCGGTGCTTGATACAGTTATCTGTTAAATAGTCCTTGAATAACTTAGATCTGAATTGGGGTCCATTGTCTGAAGTTATTTGTAGAGGAAGTCCATGTCGACAAAACATTCAATGATTTTCTCACTTGTAATATCCTTGGTAATTTCAATCTCATAGTATCGGCTGTAATAGTCCACAACAACTAACACATACTGTACAGATGTTAACGGTCCAAGAATGTCAATTGCCAATTCTTGCCATGGTCCTGTTGGTAAGGGTGTTGGACTGATTGGTTCTGGTTTCGGAAATGCACTGGTAAACTGACATCCATGACACGATTTCACATACTTCTCCACTTCCTTATCCATACCAGGCCACCAAACTTTAGTTCTTAACTGCTGTTTTGTACCAACAATCCCTAAATGACCCTGGTGAGCTAACTGTACACACTGCTTCCTCAGATTTCTTGGAACCACTATTCTTGATCCACGTAACACCTAGTATCCAATACAACAAAGTTCATCTCGAAATGGGTAATAATCAACACATGACTTCTCCCACTTTCCCTCTTTGATAAAATTTCGAATTCTAATAAGTTCATCATCCCTCCTTGAAGTTTTTTCTACTTCATGAGTGGACAGTGCCTAAGGAGTTGTCTCCCTTGCAATAAATTTCACGTATTGCTCAGTGTTCCATGAATTACTGTTTTCTACAGGTGTCTTGTCCACCAAACGTGATAATGCATCTGCGATATTCTGATGCCCAGGTGAATACCGCACTTTGAAGTTGTAAGCCATAAGTTTTAATAGCCATCTTTCAATTTTTGCATTAGGTCTGGATTTTCTTCCATAAAGCACTTCCAATGGCTTGTGGTCTGTGATTAATTCAAAATCAACCCCGTATAGATAGATATGGAACTTCTCACATGCCCATACAACTGCCAAAGCTTCTTTCTCTATTGTCGAATAATTGCGTTCGGCTGCTGACAATGTAAGACTAGCATAACTGATGACCCGTGTTTCATCCTTGTTAACTTGAAGTAGGACAGCACCAAGGCCTACATTGCTAGCATCTGTCACTAACTTGGTTTTTTCTCCATCTAATTTGTAATGTCCCAAAGTTTTCACATTTGACAAACAACTCTTTAAAGTGTCAAAACTTTTCTTCTGTTCAGCTGTCCAGACAAATTTCACATTTTTCTTTGTCAGTCCTCTGAGAGGTTCTGCCACAGTAGCAAGATTTGGTATATAACGAGCACTAAGGTTTACAAGTCCAAGGAAACTTTTCACTTCAGATCCATTTGTTGGCTCTTTAGCGTTGAGTAATGACTTGATCCTTTCACTAGTAGGTCCTATACCATTCTTTGACAAGATATGCCCCATGAATGTTATTTTATTCATTCCAAATTCACACTTGTTTAGATTTAGTGTCAATCCTTTATCCTTGAGTCTCTGTAAGGCTTTGCGAAGTCGCTCATCATGTTCTGCTTTGTCACGACCATAAATAACAATATCGTCTGAAATATTCTGTACTCCTTCACAGTCATGAAACACTTGTGAAATCACTTGCTGATATTTCTCTGGAGCTGATGAAATGCCAAACATCAGTCTTTTATATCTGTAGAGACCTTTATATGTAACGAATGTAGTGATTTCCCTTGATGACTCTTCCAGCTCAATTTGATGGTATCCACTTCTAAGGTCCAACTTATTAAAAACTTGGCTACCATTCACCATGTAGAGTATGTCATCCACTGTTGGAATAGGATGCCGTTCACGAATTATGGCAGCATTGGCTTGTTTCATGTCGACACACAATCTAATGTCACCACTTGGTTTTGGTACGATAATGACTGGACTGACCCACGGTGTAGGATCATTAACTCTTTTCAATGATATCCTGAGACTCGAGTTCATCCAACTGTTCTCCTACTTTATCCCTCAAACTGTATGGAATTCTGTACATAGCTTGTGCTACTGGTTTCACATTCTTGTCAATATGTAATTTCAACTTAAAGTTTTCCTATTCCTTGAAAACACTCAGAATATTCATGAACAATGTCAGTTGGCTGAACTGTGTTGACTCCTAAATTCATAGCAGTGTCCTTGCCTAGTAATGCCGGTCCTTTACCATTCATTATATAGAATTCTTCTTCTCTGCTGTTACGAGTTTTTTGAATTGATGCCTGCGTTCTGAATCTACCAAGTAATTTTAAGGGTTCCGTAGAACTGTAAGCAAAGAGCTTTTTCTCGCACTTCTCTGACTGACACTTAATACGTTTCTTCTTCAGAGATTCCCAAAGTTCTTTGTCAATAATATTTGCTGATGCCCCACTGCCAATAACGAACTCCATGGGATTTCCTCCAAGACTGACTGTCACTTTATCCGACAACTTGTCCCCTGTTTTAAGACTGAATGCATACACATCAGAGTCAGAATCCAGTTCAGAATTATCCACTGTGTGAATTTTCCCTCCTTTGCTTGGTTTGCTTGTAGCCCCTTTTCCTGATTTCTGCTTTGTTAAACAACATTTCATAAAGTGTCCAACTTTTCCACATTTTCTACACTCTTTATTCCTCGCGGGACACGATATATCTTTGGCGAAATGACCATCTCGTCCACAACGAAAACACTTATTACCTGGCTTTTTGTTCTGAAATTTTTGTTTCTGTTTGTCAGTTTTTTCACGATGTCCCTGAATTCTGTTAACTGACGCCACAATTTCAGTGTCCATATGTCTAGCCTGTACTTCAGTCATTTCATATGTAGCTGCTATTGTCCTCAATTGTTCTAAAGTCAAATCTTTACCTTTCTCTAACAACTTAGCTCTTATTTTGTGAGACCTACACTTTTCAATCACTTGATCCCGAATTTGCTCATCCTGATTTGCAAAATCACAATACACTGCCTGTTGTCTCAATTTCGTAATAAACTGTTCTACTGTTTCATTCTCGGTTTGTGTTATTTTTCGAAAAACATAACGTTCATACGGCACATTCACTTTGTTTTCAAAATGTTTATCTAATGTTTTCACTGCAACTGTGTACACATTGTCACTGTCACCCGCTTGCACTTCATTCAATGTATAAAAAAATGTCTTGAACTTCTGGTCCTGCACAATGTAATAACAATGTTTTTTTTCTGTTCTGGGTCATTTACCCCTTTTCCAACCACAAAAAGTTCAAAACTTCTGTGCCATCTTTTCCACGCCTGATTTAACTGCGATGGTTCAATATTTAGATCAAATTTCCCAACTCCGTTGAGTTCTATGAGTGTAGCCATTATGTATTCATCCTCGTCGCCAGTGAAGAATACTCGAATTTAATCCGTTTTCCAAACTTTATTACATGTAACAGGCATAACAGCTTACATCATCATATGCTTCCACACCGACCTCCTGACTGCACGCACTACCCATGCTAATACGCACTGACACATGACCAATACTAAAAAACATAACTCTTGCACACAAACTCTTACATACAATACACATTCAGAGTTACTTCCCTTAGATAATATCAATCCACTACAGGGTTAATTTTTTGAGAATGTTTAAAATTCTTATGTTTATCGTGTTTAATTCCTCTTATATTTTCATCTTCTCTGCCAAAGTGTTTGACATTGAAGTAAAAAGTTTTTATTTTAATGTATGACTTTTTTTATTTACTAGTAATCACATCAATGATTTAAAATAGATTTATTTTAATATTGCTGTTCTGAAAAAAAATATAAATAATCAGAAAACTACGCATTGAGCATTCTTACTATTACATGAATAGTACATAAAGCCAGAATGTCATTAAATTACCCATTCCAGATAAAGAGGAGTAATATCTAAATATATATTAAAGATCTGTAGACCTTTCCACAAAAGATATTAGAACTAAGACAAAACCATTTCAAATCTCTAAAATGTAGTTAAGCTATATATGACCTAACAACCTTGCACTATTGTTAGGCCATTATTTACACACTGAATTGTCGACGGATTTTTCCGTGATTTCCCGATCATGTCAAGGAGCACACGGCGGGTGACCGGTTGGCAGAGGATGCTCACTCTTCCATGACACCTGATCCCACCTCTGATGTTTTAGTGGTCCGTGTTTGCTCCAAAAATTGTATTGATTAATGGACTTTTGATCTTGAATACTGTTCGTTATCTCCATATATTTCATCTCTATAATATTTTAATTTGTTGTGAATAACCTTTTACAATCAATTGATATCCTTATAAAGCTAGGAAATTAAAATTATCTTAGTCTTAAGAACTGTTATAAACAAGAAAAAAATTATTTGACGCAATTGTTAAAAGTGATTAAATTTATTTTGTTATAACACACAATCACTAAGCTATGACGTCATTACATACAATGATCCAGTCTTTAATTGTGGTAAGAGTTTCTTCTCCAAAGATCAAATTTTTCAGTCGTTCCAGAGGACCCTCGTTATCCACTCCTCTACATCTGTGGAATACGTCACAATAGCCCTGATAGTTGTTACAGGGTGTGCCTAATATATGCATAAAATACGTCAAAATACCTTCAATAGCTGTTATATATTGCATCTAAGATTTTCACAAACATAAAAAAAAACTAACAATATGTCACAATACCCTTTATACTTGTTACAGGGTGTACCTAAATATACACAAAAATTACTTATTCATAGTCGTAAATAAATACATATGTTTGTTGATAATTACATCAGTAAACTAGTAAATAGTTAAATAAATAAAATGATTAAATTAAATATAATCGTTAAATACACAAAATAATTAAATCAAATATAATTTTATATAGAAAATATGTATTATTATCATTTTTAATGGTCATGTGCATACAAATTCGTTTTTCTTAATTACATTTATGAAATAAATATATTTTTACCTATAGAATATTAAATTTATTAGTTTTAATATTACATTGATCGCTCAATAGCTAACCTCCTTTGCCCTGGACGTAGTCTATAGTTGAAACATTTGCATTTTTGTTAAAGTTATTTGAATTTTATAATTGTTACCGCTGCTTTGTACTAGATTTGCGCTAGAGAGTGTTTTATAAATGATATAAAACTCTTAAGATTATTATCAATACCGTATGATGGGATTTAAGCTACCATACCATTTTGGGATAACTAGCAAGTCTTTGCAGGGCTAATAATAATGCAGCTTATAATTAAATAAAAAAATATATTTTCCAAGAACAATGAATAAATTTTTTCCTGAAATTGCTAAGATTGATAACGTTATTTATATATTGGATAAAATTGTTATATTTGGCCAATCCCTAAAAACACATAAAACGGTATCTTTTATAATTATATCCGATTCCCGATATACCGGCCAGTCCTATAAACCAATGCAGGTCTTGAATCGGATGTGTTGAACTTTGTTGAAGTTTTCTAGCACTATTTATATCCATATGAAAATTTGAACCTATACTGATATATGTGTATCTAAAAGCTTTTTCAGATTATCTGGCTATAAATAAAAATTAAATTTTCTTTTCTGCTGTATATTTGATAAATTTATTTTCTGTAATAAAAACATTATAAATAACGTTTACTAGATCCTTTTAATTGTGATATCTTAAGTTTGTGACTTCCATAGAAAACATTAATGAATTGGTGAGTAGCTTTTCGTACATATGTGTTTAATCTATTTTTTTTTTTTTTTTTTTTTTTTTTTTTTGTAAAAAAAAATGTGTTTTGATTATATAGCTAGTTTACTTGTTCTTTTGTGTTTGTTATGGCCTTGTCTTTGTAGCTGTGTTTAATATATCTGATGTTTGTTTGTATATATGTTTCTAAATCATAAACTATATACATACCTGAAGCTACCGAAATATGTGAATTATCTCCTCTCTTATTCTTTACTTCCTTAACTAGGTTACTGAATATATCTGGAATTCCTTTTTGGCCCTCCGAGACATAACACGTGTCATTGGCATCTTAAAGAATAGAAATAATGATTATTATCATATTCTTACTTCATATTAATGAAAAAAAGAAAAGAAAAAAGTTCCGTTCTATTCTGATTGAACAGAGTCAGCGAAGTAGAGGAGTAAGTCATTAAGTTTTGAGTCAAAGTTTTTTTTTTTTTTTTTGCTTTCAAACTGAGAATAATAAAGATGCATGTATGAAAACTCTGAAGTTGCAAACTACGAGTGTCGTTTCTCGCTGGCCGCTTTTATAGTGTGCGGCCGGATAACGGTATTGCAATTTGATAAATCAAACATCTTAATTTTGTGTTCCTGAATTTCAGAATGAAATAAAAATACAAACCTGGTTTGCAGGCTAAGTAACACAATTTTTCTTTCTGTTTAACAGAGAGAGACCCCGACAATCCTATGTAGCATTCATCCCACGTAGGATGCCAGTGAGGATGTGAAGACTCGTTGTAACCTTTTCTTTTACAGAGGGACCCTTCACACACCTACGGACAAAAATGTGGTATATTAAAAATCATTATAGAAAAGGAGACTGCATTTACAGACTCTTAATACAAATCATTGTAACAGAAGAAATAAGCTGAATATCAGGACTTAATACATGAAAAGGGCTATGAAAATGATTTATGTAATATAGAAATCGTTCACATTCCTAGAAAAAAAAATCGTTATAAGAAAAGAGTGTGAATATAAAAACACCATTATATGATAAAGTTATGATAAAGATTTATACAAAGATACCCTACACACCCTAGGATTTTGAAGTATTGACTGCACTTCAACACAGATCTACAGATTGAATATAGACACTATTATAAAATAAATACATGCGTTGATGACAAATAAGTTTTTTTTCTTATAAGGAGGCTTAAATATACTTTAAATGTATTGCTTTTAAACTTGGTTATTTTCTTAACCTTAGAACAGTTAATTTTTTGAACAGGTAGTTCAGGAAATCCAACGATTGATTCAAATATCTCATTTTATATTGTACGGATTGAGATAGTCTTAAACCTTATATACAATCTGGAGTACTACTCATTTTGAAAACTAGCTATATTCTTAATACATATCTGAATTTTTCATAATTTCAGTTCAATTACAAGGTATAAAACTACGTATGTGTAGTACAATTCGTTATATGTATCCTGTGCTGAGCCCGTGTATGTATTCCCGTGTTGAACCTCTTATGTGTATGTGTGCGTATGACGTCACGCCTTTTTGTGTATTATTAGAAGAAGACGCCATTCTGTGTAAGAACCTACGGGTAACCACTGTGAACTATTTCGACCTGCTGTGTGCGGTCTGGGGCTGCTGCGTGCGCCTCACATACATTATAACTTGCTGCTGTGTGCGCTCGTTATCTGTGTATATTTGTGTATTTGTTAACTGTCTTGTTTTGTGTAATAAATGTCATTACAACATATGTAAAAATTTAGCTTGTCCATTCTTACCCCATTTATGCAGACTTGAGTATAATCGATACAATACGTCATATCCTCTTTATTTTTAGGAATTGGGCACTTTGCGCTACTTCCGGTGAAGAAGTTAAGGATCAATACTCATAAATTATTATAGTTTAATATGGAGAACCAAATCTACTAAAATATACTTTTTATGCATGCACTATCTGATAGTAATTTTTTTCACAACGTTTTTAAAAAAAACATTGTACGAATAAACATTTAAGGAAATATAAATTTGTTGTGAGATATATTTGAATACCAAACCCTGATTTATGGAAGAAAAGGATATTTGCATTTTTGCTCTTCGCTACAGTCCGTGGCAGCTCGACAAACCATCATATTTGCTGGTTTATAATCACATTTGTCAGTACAACATGGGCCTTCAGTTGGACTTAAAATACACATCTTATTGTATTAATCCCATAGGCGCTTGGGTCAAGGATAGCGTATATTTTCTATATAATTTATTATCGAGGAAATTCGAACTATATTCGTAACATTTTTTTAAGCGCACAGTGGTTATTTTTAGTTTTTTGTAAACCTTTCTGCTTGATATACACTAGAATATCACAGAAATTTGATAGTATGCACGTTTTAAGAATGACATATTCCTACTGTATACTGAAAAGAAACAAGGCTTGCAACTGCATTAGCTCCTTTCCGTGCCCCCGACACGATTTTTTTTCCTTTTAAAAGTTATATGCAATGCTTACCAGCTGAATTGAGAACCCTCTTCTCTCCAGATAATTCTTATATAATGATAAAAATCCTCCGGTAACAACTTTTCATCCATTTCATATTTTTAAATAATTATTTTCTTTCAAATTTCGCTCGTTTAATTCTCTAATCACGGAAGTTCCCGAATACTAACATCCAAAACCCAAAACGGGCGACCAGTAAATTATTTGACAGTTCTTGAAAGACGCAAGGCTTAGAGTATATGTATGACGATTGAAACTGTCTAAAACTTCATTCCTTATCACTGACTATATTATTTTCTTATTTGCATCCTTAATCAAAGGAGTTATAGTTTTTAATTAAGTGACGGGGGGGGGGGGGGTCGATGGTTATGTAAGTCCAAATCTTTTCATTTGTTTTAAAGCGAATTACGTGCCCCCAATAATTTTGCCGATATATAGATCACTAAAGTAAACTTAGACACTATATGCTTGTGCCCCCCCTTTTTTTTTTTTTTTTTTTTTTTTTGCTTGTCGAGGAATTTTTGGTAGATGATAACCCTTTTTTTTTTTTGCTTGTCGGAAAATTTTTGGTTGTGCCCCCTCAACTGAAAATGTATGGCTGTGCCCGCCCAAACTGAAATTGTTTCCTACGGGCCTACCGTGGTGGTGATGGTGGGGTCCACGTTTTCTAGGGGGGGGGGGGTGTCCAAAGTCATTTTTTATTTGCTTCAGTATATACTTTTTATAATTCTGCAAATTCCAGGTGGGGGGGGGGGTCCGGACCCCCCGATCCTCCTCCCTCTAGATCCGTGCATGCATTATAGAGAATATATTAAACAATGTGGCAAGTTTATATGAACAAGATTGAAGAACTGTTTTTCTTTTTATTACATGTAACATGATTCACATACAAGATCCAGAAGATCCGAAGGCTGTATATACGCCAACGTATATAGCGATTGAAACTCCTTTAAAAAGAATCTTGATCTGACACGTAATTAGTTAAAATATACTGTATACAGGGAAATTTTCGCCCCCGTTTTATTATCTTCCCTTTCGCCCTACCCTCATTTGGGCGAATTTAAAACGGGGCGAATTCAAAGAATACAGTATAATTACTTAAACAAAACTATGAGTGGGCGAATTTAAAACGGGGCAAAATTGTTTGCAAGTGTGAAAGGGCGAAAATAAAACGGGGCGAAAATAACCCTGTATACAGTATTATTTTTACTCGTACAATATTCCACTAATAACAGCAGATCAACAAAAAAAAAAAACAGTAGCACCAGAATTCACTCTTTGATCAATGATATTTTTTGGAAGGAGGACTGAACCAGGTTCGTGGCACCCAAGTGTACCCCTAACGTAGTATGGAATTTTCATTGAAACGCCGGTTATGCGCCCCTCCTCATCCCTCTTACACACACGCACGCAGACACATTTTGCTGCCAAATTTATTGTATCCTTATTTTTTTTTACTGTTAAGGAGAGAGAATGCACCCGCACCATTCTCACGAAATACATATATTTATACGTTGAGACAGTTTTCCATTTTTATATTTTTTGCATGACAGAGTTTTTCACGCAGTTTTGTTTTCAAAATATTTTACATGTATTTTGTTTGCTTGTTAATCATTTTTTGGCTGCCCCACTTTCAAAAACGAGACTTCTTGTTTGTAATATATAAAATTCACGATACGTATTACATAGCAATACATGTACATGTTAGTGTAGAATGAGATTTGAAATGCAATGTTACCCCCCCCCCCCCCAAAAAAAAATGAAATTTCATTATAATGTATATATTAATGCAAATATGATTTCTTCAATGTTCTCTAGCTCGAAATTTTAATTTCCATACTTATTAAATTTACCTGTGATTTAAACTTCTATCCAAGTTGTGTACAAATGATTTTTTTTTAATTTGCTTTTTAAGCTCTTTGGGATTATTGACCTAGGGTCCGTTTTACAGAAGAACTTACGATTAAGACCAACAATTTCAGCTGTTTCTTCCATCGCTCTAAACCAATATTTTAGAGGAGAAAAATTGATTTCTAAATACGTTTTTTTTTTTAAGATTAACGTTATTTTGCAAAAACATATTTTCATTTTAGTCGAAAATTCCTTTGATATGCACATCAGCATTGCTATTTTCTTTAAATTGCATGCCCGTGTAAAAAATAAAAATGCTTGCACTTTATTTTTCAATGTTAAGTCTAAATGTTATTCAATTACCGCAATGTTTAATTTATTCTTGATAAAGATTGATATCGTAATTCACTTTAAAACAAATGAAAAGATTTGGATTAAACATAACCATCGAACCCCCCCCCCCCCCGTCACTTAATTAAAGCTATAACTCCTTTGATTAAGGATGCAAATAAGAAAATAATATAGTCAGTGATAAGGAATGAAGTTTTAGACAGTTTCAATCGTCATACATATACTCTAAGCCTTGCGTCTTTCAAGAACTGTCAAATAATTTACTGGTCGCCCGTTTTGGGTTTTGGATGTTAGTATTCGGGAACTTCCGTGATTAGAGAATTAAACGAGCGAAATTTGAAAGAAAATAATTATTTAAAAATATGAAATGGATGAAAAGTTGTTACCGGAGGATTTTTATCATTATATAAGAATTATCTGGAGAGAAGAGGGTTCTCAATTCAGCTGGTAAGCATTGCATATAACTTTTAAAAGGAAAAAATCGTGTCGGGGGCACGGAAAAGGGCTAATGCAGTTGCAAGCCTGGTTTCTTTTCAGTATACAGTAGGAATATGTCATTCTTAAAACGTGCATACTATCAAATTTCTGTGATATTCTAGTGTATATCAAGCAGAAAGATTTACAAAAAACTAAAAATAACCACTGTGCGCTTAAAAAAAAGGTTACGAATATAGTTCGAATTTCCTCGATAATACATTATATAGAAAATATACGTTATCCTTGACCCAAGCGCCTATGATTAATCCTTCTAAAATAGAGGCTTATCATGATATATGGAGATGGGAAATTAATTACAGTAAGATAAAAGATGAGAGTTTAATAATTATAAACTGATGATGAAATTTAAAACGAAAAAACATCCTTTTTTATAACAGAGACCTTAAAACACCTCATTGTGAAAGTCCTTATTAACTTATTTCAATTTTGATCTTGCAAATTTTGGTACTTAATTGTAAGGTACGATGTGATCTACAATGATAAAAATTTCCTTAACTGGGCCCCACCTGCATTTAATTGAAGGATCTTTATATTTACACATCTGTTTGTCGTTTGGATCGCTGCTCCGAGGGTGGCAGCAATTGTCTGTACAATCATCTTTATAGCCACAATCACACTGCTCCCCTTCCTCTACTATACCGTTACCACAGAATGCCGAGTCCGATGCTAAAAGAAAAAAATTATTTTTATATGTTAGTATTTTACTTCTCTCAATCAATTCAATTCAAACCTCAAAGGTCACTAAATGTAATAGATTAGAATAATTATGTATGTATCTTTACTTGACAAATGTAATTATCAACTTAAATATTAATTTTCTGCGTCAAGAAAAAAAAATGTGAAGAAAGGATTAGATGTTGTAAAACAAATGACAGCAAAACGTTTTTGTATTTCCAGTTTCTGACTATTACTACAGCGTCTAACACTTATATTTCCTTTACTGTTAGAGAGAAGATAAGGTACCAATTACATTTGAAGCAGTTGTATTTCCCGTTCCTGCCGTTCACTACGGCGTCTAAGACTAACGTGATGTTTTCCTTACTACACTTGGAGAAATGGTCGTTGTTAGGACGGTTACCCTTGGTTGCGCTTGGATACATGATAAAGTTACCTGGATCTCCACCTGGAGCACAAATAGTTCCACTGTCATGCTGAAAATAAAATAATGTATAAATTAATAAATCAAATAGTTGATGAATAAATCAGCAAATAATCAATAAATCAATAAATAGAGTCAGCAAAAAAATTAAATACATTTTAAAAATTGCAATGAATACAGGAATGAAAATATAATTAAAAAGCTGAATTGATATCATGATACTATACACTTATTGGATGATCGTGAGGGAAATATGAAGATTTATTCAGCCAAGAAAAATCATATTCCCCGAAGGCTTTGCCCGAGGGGAATATGATATTTCTTGGCTGAATAAATCTTCATGTTTCCCGAACATTCATCCAATAAATTGTTTATTATACCAAAACAAGTAAAAACTTAAGATCTAAACATAAACTTTCAATTTCGGCAAATTCGCTTTCAAAAGTTTTTTTTTTTTTTGTTTTTTTTTTTTTTTGTTTTGTTTTTTTGTTTTTGTTTTTTGTTTTTTGTTTTTTTTTTTTTTAAATACCGTGTAAACTTAAATTTTCAAATTCGGCAAATTCACTTTCAATTTTAACAAAGTGTTACTGAAACAATTTACACAAGTCCATTAGCAATTTTGTTACGTGAACCAGACTATTGTGACGTCTACTATTCTCTGGAGTTTTCGTTCAACGAACGATGACTATTGCGGGAAAATGCACTAGGTCTCCGAAAAGGTTGAATATGAGGAACAGCATGACGAATACATGGAAATATGAAGTTTTGTGTCCCTGTCACGTGATAATCTAGAACCAATCAGATAACGCGTTGTATGAGGTATAATGAGAAATATAATACGTATTATGGATTTTGCATATTGCTAATCCGAATAACATAGTATTCAAAAAATGGTTGTGGTACTCTGTTAAGAATACAAGCAAAATTTCGAAAATGATAGAAATATATTTTTTAAAAATGATTATACTTAGGTGAAAGCAGTGACAGAGTCTCTGGGAAGAGATGGACTGTATATTCCCTTCGACTTAAATCAAGTATTACGTAATATTCGATATATTTGTATTCTAAATAGCGAGATTCAACTGTAGTTAATGATTAATTAAATTTCTATTTATATCGTTAGTCCCCTTAACCCCAAAACACACATTTCAAAGCTTAAAACTCCATGTATATTTCTAAATATCAAAGTTTACTATCCCGGTATTCAGGCTCTTCTGTATACTTCTTCCCTGTTCTCGTACTGTCCTATAGCGCTCACATACGCCCCCTGCTGCAGCTGCACGGTGAAATATCCCTAAAATGTGAAGATAACAAACAGTAAACATGCTTCAAAGTTAAATTCAACAATACAAAACCAACATAAGAGATCAGATCAGGTGTCATGTGGGAGTAAACAATCCTGTCAAAGTGACACGCCCACCGTGAGCCATTTTAAAAGCATGACAGTATACAGGATCTCTAAAGAATCTAACATTTTAATTCCTCTACATAGCTATTTTCAAGCAGTAAATCTAATTTTTTTTTATCTTCGTTATAGGCATATCCCTTTGAACTACAGACATTTCTAGAACCGCACGGCCGTAACGTAATAAAATTCCAGATTATAAAGCCAAGTGTGCTTTCCAGAAGGACAACGGTACGTTATAAAACGAATATATACATATAAAACTTTTTTACACACAGCATAAATACGAATTATATTTTTATTTCATTTCACTATAAATTCCATATAAACTTCCATACTTTTACACATTAATACGGCATATATGTTTTTTTATGAAAAAATTGTGGCCGTTCCACATCATCACACCCTTTGGTATATAAACCTGGAATTTCATATCCCTTTTTTATATTGAGGTTGTCTTACAGGAAATCACTTGGCTATATGAATCCGGGTTTTTTTACGTTTCTGCCGTCGAAAAAATATATATGTATATGTTTCTTTGTGTAATATGATAAAATTTGAAAATGACAAAAAGTGCCAAGATCATGGAAATTTGATTCGTAAAAGATTTTTTACAAGTTTTTTTTTTTTTCGGAGGAGGAGCTAAGTGAAGTTATTTTTAGTGTCTCATATATGAAGTCAATATAAAACGAAGAAAAGGTTTGAAATAGGAACAGTTAGAAGATAATTTTACCCGTGGGCGATCCAACCCAGGCCAGTCCGAGAGTCCCTCTTGAGAAATCCCGATAGGTGAAAGCAAACGCCAGACAGAAAGGATCATGATTGTCCAAGGAATTCAGATTCAAAAAATTACTGACGTCGATGTTCGGATTACAGAAGCTCAGAGCATTGGTCCGAAGATACGTGGTACACTGTAGGGATTCGTCCGTCATCATCTGATTTATAAAAAATCCGAAATTTATAATCTTTATTTAGGGAAATGTAAAATTATTAGGGATGTCAATTTTGTCAATAATTCATATTCGAAAATTCAATGAAAGTATTCGAATATATTCGAATATTCGATAAAAGAAATAAAATCTGTTTTATTTTAAATATGCATCATCCTACTCTCATGAAAGGTTTAGCGTAGGTATACTTATATTGGAAGTAAAATTGTATGAAGACTTTTGTAGGTGTACAATAAGAAATTTCATTTGATATTTGTCAACGTTTGAAATATATAATTGATTTAAAGGTAGAAAAGTATAATTTTAACAAATGAAACGTGTATTTATAGTAGCTTCAACTGAGGAACCAGTCGTCTTACAAAAGGCAAGATAGTCGTAATGGTATAATGTTCAAATTTCAATACGTGTAATAAATTACAATTATCTGCCTAATAAGAGATATGATTATAATCTTTGATACAATGTAAACAAATATTTCCATAGACAATTTTCCTAGGTAATTAACTTATTTCCCGATAATGAATATAAAATTCAGGATTATGTACAACCCGAGATAATTAAGTAATTTACACATTTATTCTGAAATTAAGCCCTTCAAAATATTAATTACAGATTAATTATATCGGACATTCGTTCAATGATCAATTATTTTTATTTTGATAAGTATACTCTTGAGTCTTCACACCTTTTAGACATTCTTAGATTTCATTTGTTGTTCTCGATTCTAGATCCGATCGTATCTAACTAATAAGAACTATGAGATTGCGTTTTGTATTATACATAAAGCATTATTGTACGATTCTTTAACACCTTACTCAAAACAAAATACATGTAATTTAGTAGATTTATAAGTTAAGAAAGTAGTGAAAGAAATCAGGCGATCGAAATTGATCGCTAGTAAATTAAACAGGGATAATTCCAGCACTGTTCTAATAAAAATTTATTAATCACAATACTTCTTTTTATGAAATCTGAAAAAAACGAATATTCGAATCTTAAATTCATATTCGAATATCCACTCATCGAATGAATATTCGATTGTTCGAATATTCGTTGCCATCCCTAAAAATTATATAACCATGACACAAGGAAAATATTTGCAAGTAAACTGAAACACATTCCAGATATCTGTCGAATGAAACTATAATATATTTCAGATATCTGCACAATGCAAAGATTAATATATTTATATGTCTCTTTAATTTAAACTGTAATATATTCCAGATGTCTGTACATTGTAAACTGTGATATATTCCAGATGTCTGTACAATGTAAACTGTTACATATCCCAGATGTCTGTACAATGTAAACTGTTATATATTCCAGATGTCTGTACAATGTAAACTGTAGTATATTCCAGATGTCTGTACAATGTAAACTGTTATATATTCCAGATGTCTGTACAATGTAAACTGTTATATATTCAAGATGTCTGTACATTGTAAACTGTGATATATTCCAGATGTCTGTACAATGTAAACTGTTACATATCCCAGATGTCTGTACAATGTAAACTGTTATATATTCCAGATGTCTGTACAATGTAAACTGTAGTATATTCCAGATGTCTGTACAATGTAAACTGTTATATATTCCAGATGTCTGTACAATGTAAACTGTTATATATTCCAGATGTCTGTACAATGTAAACTGTAATATAGTCCAGATGTCTGTGCAATGTAAACTGTAATATATTCCAGATGTCTGTACAATGTAAACTGTGACATGTTATAGATATCTGCACAATGTAAACTGTTATATACTATTATATATTCCAGATGTCTGTACAATGTAAACTGTAATATAGTCCAGATGTCTCTACAAGGTAAACTGTAATATATTCCAGATGTCTGTACAATGTAAACTGTAACTTGTTATAGATACCTGTACAATTTAAACTGTAACTTCTCCCAATGCAAACTGTTATATATTCCAGATATCTGCACAATGTGAAATGTAATATATTCCAGATGTCTGTACAATGTAAACTGTAATATATTATAGATATCCGTACAATGTAAACTGTAATATATTATAGATATCTGCACAATGTAAACTGTTATATACTATTATATATTCCAGATGTCTGTACAATGTAAACTGTGATATATTCCAGGATCCGGTTGCACGAACGTTAGTTAAATTTAACTGGCCGTTAACTTTGCGTTAACCCGACGTTAAATTTAACGGCGAGTTAAACCGGTTGCACAAAAGTTAACTAACAGTTAAACCTTAATTAATTTTCAGATTTAACGAACAGATTTAACTGAGGTTACCTAGGTACATTAAATATTTAATTAAACATTAAAATCAAGATCGCGGACTTGTTATCATTTCAAAATTTGTTTTCTGGGAAGGAAGAACTTATACAGAGATAATAGAAATGTCTGACTTGAGCAACTTGCAAATTCAATCCCGATTTCTATTTAGCAAGGTTGTATAATACATATGCATATTGCGGATATATGTTGCGATATTATCTGCAAAGAAAGAATCATTCCATATGAGTGGAGATGTAGGTATTTTTTTTATTCGATTATGCATACAATAAGTGACATTATATTTTATCACAAAGATCATCATTTAAAAAAAATTAACTTCAGACAAGTTACTGAAAGGTAGGTTAATCGTTGAATTCCACATACATCAGGCATGTAAAACGAGGATGGTCCCACTTTTTGAAAGATTTTTTTTTTGAGAGATTTTTTTTATTTTTAT